GTCACCCGGAGTTTTGCTGTCACCTTGTCCCAGGCCGCGGGGGTTTGCTGCCCGCATGCAAATGCAGCCGCCGCATGCAGCCCGCTCCGTCCCTCGCAGCAGACCCTGCGGGGACAGCGGCCGCGGCGCTTTCGTTTCCGACCCGCGCGCCCAGGCATGCGCGGGAACACCCTTTCCTGCCAAGGGCTCCTGGGGCCCCTCACAGGGACCGTTGTCCCCTTCTGCGCCCTGCTGCCCAGCCCAGGGGAGCACGTGGGTGAAGCTGATGGGCTGGAGCGCGTGGTGCCGACCGGCACCTCCGCCGGACACGTCCAGCTGCCCAGCTGCAGAGCGGGCACCGCTGCATGGACCCACATGCCCCAGCCATGCGCAATCCGGGCTGGGCACTGCGAGCTTCTCCCAGACCTGGCACTTCTGGAGGTGACGGGGATGTGCCAAGGGACACGGCACCTTTCGGCATGCTGAGCTGACCAGCAGGTGCTTCAGGCCTGAGCACGACAGGCACAGGATAAGAGCGAGGGGTGGGATGTGAAGCTGCATGGGGGGATGCAGAGCTGTGCAGGGATCAGGAGCTGCATGCAGCAGCATGCAGAGCTGCAGCGGTTAAGCATGCAGAGCTGCTCAGAGTGCACCGGGAACTCGCTGAGAGCAAACGTGGTCCCCGGTACTCGCTGCTCCCCTGGGAGCCGCGGCCTGGGGCGCTCGCCCTGCAGCGCCCGGCTCCGGGATGGCCTTGGCGGGGCGGGCGCAGCGGCCCAGCCCCGGGCCGGGGAGGCCTCCAGCGCCGCCAGCCCCGCAGCCCTTGTTTGGGCCGTGGCTGCAGCAGGGCCATAAAAGGCGGCGCTGGGGAGGGCGCTGGCGGCGGCTGCATCCAGGGCACCGCAGGGACATCCCGGGAGCTGCCCCGGGCTGGGGGCTGCGCTCAGCCCCGGCCCCCCGGCACCCTGCGGCCGTGCCCTGAGCGGGGACGTTGGGGACGCTGGGGGGACTGGTGCACATACCTGCGGGGAGGGGTCTGCATTTCCCACAGCCATTCACAGCCTGGGGACCCCCCAGGAGCCAAATGCGCTGCAGAGGGACACAGGGAGCTCGGGGACACGCCAGCGGCAGAGCGTGGGCTGCACCGGGTGCCACATTGCGGTTACATCCTCCTGGCACTCACTGTAACGCAGCTAACGGGACGCCGAGGACCTCGCTCGCCGGAGAAGTCCCCGTGGCGTTTCCAGGTCAACTCACTCTGAATCCCAATGCGTTTCACAGCACTCAGGACACCAGGATTGCTCTCATTTAACCAGGTTTCAGGGTTTGGGAGAGGTGGCCTGTGGCCCACGGGGGTCTCTGCAGCTGACACTAAATCTGGGGCTCGTGGAGCATCCATCAGCAGTAGCGACCTCAGTACCAAATTTGGGGATGATTGAAGCTGATTTAGGAGCCTCTGGAACAGTAGCAAGCTAGGAGGTGCTCAGTGAGATGGGCAGCTCTGCAAGGTAAAATGGGGAGACATGAGTCAATGAGACATGGGGTGACAAAGGGGGGCCCTGGGACCCTGCTCTTCCTCAGCAGGGAGGGACTGCCCTGTGCCAGAGGGAAGGACAGATAAGCGGCTCAGAGGAACAGCAGGAGTAACCGGTGAGGAGAGTTGGAGCGCGGGATGTAGCTGTCGGCTGGGACACCTGAGCCAGCCCAGAGGAACGTGAGGAGGATAAGGAGTGGGGAGGAAGGGCGAATCCCCGGGTTTGCGGGAATCCCGCAGCGCGGCGGGAGCGAGCGCGAAGGCTGCAGCGATGCAGCCGCTGGTGCCCAGGGGCTGCTGGTGGGAAGGCAGCTGGGGCAAAGGCTCCAGGCAAAGGCTGCACCGGGCAGCTCCGGTGCTCCCAGGCTGTCCTGGTGGGTGGATCCTGGCCCCGCAGCCGAGGGGTGGCCGCCTTCCCAGGCCCACGGGTGCCCGGCCCCGCTCCTGTTCCCGGTGCGCCCCGTGCTCACGGGCTGGCAGCGCCAGTGTCCCACACTGGGTCCGGCTGCAGCCGTTCTGGACCTAGCATTAAAGAACGCAGATGAAATCCCCCTGCTGCTGCCAGGTCGCTGTATCCGCAGGGACGGGCCCGCGGCGGCGGGTGCTGCTTGCAGGCTGCAGGACGGACGCCTAGGCTGCACATCTCCTACCTGCGTCAGCAGCTGAATTCCCTGGGCTCCTTCCTCTGTTGCTTCTTAACCCCTTCCTGCCGGCAGCGATCGGGCAGGGATGGCCTGGGCTGGGGCTGTTCCTGCGCGCAGGGAGGTGAGGAGGGAGCCGCCAGCTCGGGAGCACCTTTCCCGAGCTCCAGGTCCCCGCTCCCTGCATGGAGCAGCATCCTGCTCACGTGCTGACCTGCTCTGCCGGCTCCGGGTTCCCAGCAGCCAGATCCAGCCTGGCTCGGCACCAGCAGATCCGAGCGGTGCCGCATCCCTGTGCACCCCCTTGCAAGGAGCCGGCTGCGCCAGGCAGATTTATCGCCTTGGCAGAGAGCCCAAGGGCCAGCTGGGCTTTGGGCTGTTTCCAAGGTTTCCAGCCGCTGTTGGAAGTTTTTCCCCCCATGCGATGTGTGGGAATCGGGCTCCTGGGCTGCACCCGGCTGCACGTCACTGCGCTCGGTCTCTTTGGGCCTGCAGCCAGTTTTGGGGAGCTGCAGGGCCTTCCCAGTCCTCACTAGCACCGTAACACCTTTTAGGGGGTCCAAAAAGGAAAGGGCACCCAACAAGGCCCAGGGAACCCCTGGCAGTGTTCGAGCCGCTCCCAGTCTGGCTGCAGGTCCTGGTTTGTGCACAGAGCAGGGTCCTGTGCAACGGAGGTCCTGCCTGGATCAACCTGGTGGGACCAGGGAGGGTCCCGGCACTGGCCATGGTGGCCAAGGGTGCGGAGCGCCCGCAGGAGCTTTTCCATTCGGAAAAATCACCCTTAAAAAATGCCAGTCCACAGCAGGTCCCCTGTAGTCGGGTTCCCCAAACCAGTCTGGCATGGTGCTCGTTAAGGTGTTCCTGGAGGACAGCTGCCATTAGCAGGTGAATCACGAGCCCGGAGACACGGACGGCTCCGCGTTCCCAACCTCCCTGCACATGGACTCGGCTCTTTGGAGGCAGATTCCTCCAAGGAATATGGGGAACATGGGGGGAAAGGGGAGCAAGGGACATGGGGAGCAGCTCCGAGAGCACAACCCAGAGCAGGGTTGGGAGCTCCAGGGTTTGGATGCATCCTGAGCCTGGCGTGGGGCTGGCCCGGGGGCAGCAGAGGAGGGGGCGCTTCTGTTGGGCTTTGGTTTCTGCTCCTCGCCCGGCTGCGCTGCAGAGCGGCACCAGCCCTGAGCCAGGGAAACCCCTCATGGAAACCCCTCGCTGAAGAGGAAGGTTTCGCAGGTCACCTTGGGCAAACAACCCTGGTGCAATCCAGGTGCGGTACAGCATCCCACCCCAAAACCAACCCCGCCTGTTGGCTTCCCGAGCCGGGCTTGCCTCATGACAGCACTACCCAAATATTTCCTTATTAAACCTAGCCGGCGTTGGAGCAAACCCGGTTCTGCACCTCGCAGGTGTCTCCTGGTCACGGGGCACCTGCTACGCGCTTGGGCGGCGACTTCAATGGTTAGAGCCCTTTCCACACCAGTGCTGTTTCCAGATGCAACAGCAAAACGGTCTAAAAACAACGCCGGGAAGGCAGAAACCCTCCGGATTGGGGAGAAGGAAGGCTCGGCTCACGGGCAGGCTGGCACCCTGCCCTCCGCCGCCTCCACCTGGGATGTGCTGGGATGGAGGGGGCAGCAACACACGGGACCCGGCAGCCGTTTTTATCCTGGGAAACGTGAACGTCCCGTGGGGAATTTTATTCCAGGGGGTGAGAGATCCTGCGGTGCTTCTGGTTTCTGAGCACTGTCGGGAGAGCTGCTGTGGCTGCAGCGCCGTCGCGTCGCGGACCCGCACGCCCGCAGGGGGAGGATCCATCAGCTCAAGGCTGAGCCCAAAGAGGCTTACGCGACTATTTACCTTCAGCAGGGTCTATTTTTGGCTATTTGACTGCAGCTAATTCAGGGACCACGGAAGAGACATGGGAGAGAAGCCACGTGAGGGGCCTCGTTTCCAAGATCCTCCCGCCTGCTCTGCAAAGACCAGGAGTTTGTCTTTTATTTCTAATTTTCCCAGGTAGCAGAGAGGGGTGTAAGGGAGCAGGGCCTCTTGGGGACCTCCCCGGCTTGGGCTAAACTTGGGGAATGCTGAGCTGCGGCAGGCGCAGCGCCGGGAGCCCCGGGAGCCGTGTCCACACTGCCGCGTGGCTTCAGCAGCAGGGGAACGACTGACAAGGACCTACCTGGCGCGGCCTCGGCCTCGTGCCGGAGCAGCAGAACCAGCCGGGCCCGGCGGCGCGGCCTCCTGCACCCCGGCACCGCGGCCGCCCTGCTCGTCACAGGGAGGCTCCTGCTGCGCAGCGGGACACAGCGGGACACAGGGGCTCCCGTGTGCTACCACAAAGCAAACGCGTCCAGCAAAGCCCAAAAGGGACGTGGGCTTCCCACCTTGCCAGACCGAGGGAGGTGTATAAAGGAAGGGGTGGGTTCGTGGGAGGAGGAGTGAAAAACAGCTAAAGACACCAAGGGGCAAAGGCAGAGCAGGGTGCTGCCCCCTCGACTCCCTTCTCATCCCTACCCGGGAGCTCTTCCCCAGGCTCTGTTTGGCACAAACTTGGGCTCAGGACACACCTCTGGATGCCACTGAACTTGGTTAGGACATGCTGGCAACACAGCCGTGCTCAAGGTCGCAGCTCCTCTTCTGGCCGGCACGTGGTACAGAAGAAACGTGGTACGGGAGAAACTTGCTGTCCTTTCAAAAACAACACAAAGGAAAGCGTTGTCAAAGAGAGCTCAGCAGAAACGATGGCAAGAAATGAAGTTTTGTTTCCAGCTCAGGAAGGGTAAGAGGGCCCGTCAGTGGTGCCAGCTGAAGCATCTAAGGCACAGGTGGAGTGTAGATGCCACAGCTGTGGTGAAGACAGAGAAAGACAGAAAATAACCAGGAGTTAACGACAGCCAAGGGAAATGCATTGGGAAACACACTGGAAACAACAGAGTTCTACAAACAAGTGTCTGAAGTCTGCAGTTGTCAGCATGAAGAAGCTGCTTCGCTGCAATATAATGGAGAAGTAAATCTTGCAACGTGTCTGTGAAATACCCTGAATACAGAAAAGCAGTGCTTGAATACCCGTGGCTGTGCCAGTGGGAAAAACCCGCACCAGCAAAACCCTGTGTAAAAATAGAAAAGGCGGGAGATGGACCTTCAGGTGACCAGTTCCAGCTCACCAACAAATGACATACCCTCCCCACAACCCCAGCAGTTTGCAGGTTTATTTTTGGCAAATAAAATCAAATCGATCATCATGGCTTTAGGGAGAAGCCACTGAGCTGCAGGTTTTGGTCGAGGCGGAGAACGCGGCTGAGCAGGATGCTCTGGACGAAGGGACATCGCAGGGTCTCGTCCCAGCTCTGCTCTCTCCCGCAAACGCTGCCGGCTGCGCTTGGCTCTCTGCAGTGTCCTCATCAGCAAGTCACACAGTTTTGGTGGCTGACCAGTCCAACCCAGAGGCAGAATAACAGGTCCTTGGTAGGATCTAGAAATGCTTCATATTTCTAATCAAATCAATTCCAAAAACGTGCAAACACTGTTCCTAGGTACCCAGCTGTTCCTGGGTAGATGCATTTCACTCAGGTTCCACTACTCAGTGGAATGTGATTTGCTTCTGCCCGTGAAGGGATTTCGTTCCTCTTGCGTTCTCTCCATCTCAGTCTTCCTGGGCGTTTCCAGAGGCAATCCCTCCATTTCTGTCCCTACGTTCCTCCTGTACACATCCTTCCTGCCGCTACGCCCTGTTCCTCTGTGGCTATTTCCGGAAGGCGAAGACGTCCCGTGTTTTCAAGCCTCTCCTGCCCTCGCTTCCTGCTTTGGGAGAAGCCCCTTCTGGCAGCCCCCCGTAGGGGCAGCTCTCGCAGGCCGGGTGGTGGCCGGAGCACTCGACGGCGGGGATGAAGCCGCTGTCCCACATGCCGGTGCCACAGAGCTTGCACAGGTCGTGCAGGCTGCAGGGCACGCGGGGCAGCAGGTGGAACTGGTAGAGCAGACTCCTGGCCTGCAGGGGAGACACAAGCGGTTCGGTTATCACCGGCCCAGCGGTCCTCCCGCCCTGGGCTCCGTTTAGCTCTGCTTGTAGAGCCACAGCTTTGGAGGGGATGGGGAAGGGCACATGCAGCTCACTGCCCAGCCTGCAGCCAGTTGGAGCTGGACTGGGGACCGTGACACTGGGATGACAAGCTCTGCCCACCGTTCCCCCTAAGCACGAGCAAGTTCTGCAACCCCAGCCACGCCACTGCCTGCTAAGCCCTCAGCTACTTCCCCTCCATCTCTGCAGAAACAGGTTCCAGGCAAACACCTCACACACCATTTCAAGAGGAAACGGCCTCAATTTGCACCAGGGGGAGGTTCAGGTTGGATATTAGGAAAAATTTCTACACAGAAAGAGTGGTCAGCCATTGGAAGAGGCTGCCTGGGGAAGCAGGGCAGTCACTGTCCCTGGCAGTGTTCAGGAAACGTGTAGATGGTTTAACAGGATGGTGCTGAGCGGCTTACGGTTGGACTGGATCTCAAAGGTCTTTTCCAACCACAATGGTTCTATGATTCTAAAGGAATAATTTGACCAACTCCCTGTTTATTCTTCCCAGATCCAGACAAGCAGAGGGGTACAGGAGATGGGGAAGATTTAACTAACCTCAGTCTCTCATTTTCTTGAGGGTCTGACTCATTTCTTGGACCAGAGACTTGGCCCTCATCTGCACAGAGGCACTTACCTTCCTGAGTACAAGTTCCCCGTTCATGTGCATGGCCAGGTTGCCGAAATGCAGCAGCATCTGGTCAGTGGCCAGTTGTTGTTCAATGACGTCGTCCCCGTAAATCACCACTATGGCCACACAGATAAAGAGGTGGAAATAGTCAGTCTGCAATGAGAAGAGAGGGGCTGGACTGCAGCAGGTGGGCGCAGAGGGCTGACAACCTCTCCACCCTCCACGCAGCCTCCATCCTCCTGCTCTGCAGATAAACCCTCGCTGGTTGCATACCGGCTGCAATGCTTCCAGACCTGGACTTGCCTCCAAATCTCCCTGGGCATCCCAGAGGAACGTGCAGCAACATGTCCACAAGGAAGGACAGCTGCTGAGCACAACTTCCCGGGTGCCAGTGCTGCTGTGGCCACCAAAGCAGGAGGGAGGGGAGCCCTTTCACAGGCAGAAACTCTCCTTGTCCCCCAGCCCCATTGCTGCCCTTGCAGGAGACCAGACAGCAGCTTCTGCAAAGGCTTCAAATACCGGGGAATTCACTGCTCAGGCAAGCAAAGAGTTTTGCATGAAACAAGGACCTTCTGAGCTGATGAGTCTGTGAGCTCCAGGATTCTGTAATGAGGCAACTCAAGCTGCAATTTGCACCAGTTTTAGTTTCCTTCAAGGTAAGCTGCAGCAAATCAAACCAGAACACTGCTGACTGCAAACCACACTCACAGTCTCGGCTAAGAAAGTGCTGCAGGAAAGGGAATACCTGCAATGAAACTTATTGTGGATGCACTACTACCAACAGCCCTTAGACAAACCCTGCCATGCTGCTGGACCCGCTGCCGTCCCGGGTGAGCTCCTAACCTGATAGTGAGCCCAGCATGCTTCCCACATGCGCAGGGCCTCAGCATCTGGAAATTCGCGTTTAAAACAGAGGAGGATCCAGCGGTGACAGAAGAGCATCTGCAGGCCGTCCTCTCCCAGGGAAAGCAGGTGCTGGTAGAAGCGCGGGTGCATGAGCCGCAGCAGCTCTCGCAGGTACATCTGCAAAAGATGTTCGCAGCTGAGCCTCGTGCTGGGGACCCTCGTGCACGGGGACTTGTGGAACCATCCCCTTCGCTCTCCATCCCGAGGAGCCCAGCACGTCCCCATGGGCTCCAGCACAACCCGCCACAAAGCTCTTCTGCCACGAAACGCTCCCGCTTTCCACTTCCACCTGCTCACAGCTTGTTTAACACGGCACAGGCGGGAGCACCCTTGGGTCTGTCATTAACAGGCAGAGTCACAGACTCCAGGGGCTGCTTCACAAGGAAGGAGAGTGCAAAGCAACTCCCACAGCAGCTACATTGTGAAAAGAGAAGAGGTTCTGGCTGAGGAAGGCAGCACAGAGCTATAGCCTTCAATATATAACTGTGTTGGCAGCATTTCATTTCAGTAGACACTGAGCACGATGGCAGTGATTCGGGGAAGCCTGCCCATAAAGGTGTGCTGCAGTGCACAGATGTGTGCACGGAGCACGTGCACGTCACCAGCAACATCCGCCAAGGTGCACCATCCACCACAGATCCACCACTTTCAACTGGTGGCCTCGTGGCTGGGACAGGATTGGTTTCATTTAGGATGGATTTCCAGGATCGTAACTAGAAAGGAAGGGATGTTAATGTTGCAATCTGAAATGCTCCTTCAGTGTGGCCAACGTGACTTTAATCTGACAATTTACTGGCTATAACTGCCTCCAGAGCGCCCCAGTCACCTAGGATTCATTTTATCTACCAGGCATTTTATGAGGTTGGGATGCGACCCTGTATGCTGGAACCCACAGCAACAGCCAAGGCAACTGTTTCATGGCGTTCTTCTAATTTGAGCAGGGAGAAGTTAAAGACATGACAAAACTGAGCTCTGTGCTCAGCCTCACCAGCTGCTTCTCCATATCCTCATCCCGGGGTGAGCTGAAGAAGATTGTATTCTGCATCAGTCCCACAAAGCACCAGAAAGTATCCGACTCATCTAGGACCTCAGCCAGGATTGGGGCAACCAGGTCCGACATGCCCTGGGAGTATCCGATCGCTGGGTTAAATACTGCATAGTTCAGCAAGATCCTCCTAGAGGAGACGTTCAAGGGGACAGGTGAGGTGCAGGGAGGACACGCCGCAGCCGTGCTCACACTCCTCCCACTCCCCCCTACTCCCACCACATGCTGTGGTAGGGCAAGCGAGTAGCACATCACCCCGGCCATCCAAAAGGTTAGCATGCAATTACAACCACAGAGGCATGGGCCTTACACCACACATGCATGAGATCTCTTGAGCGCTGCACGGCATGTTGCATCCCACAAAACTGCTTTCCCTAACTCAATTGGGAGCATAAGGGCGTTGGGAGCAGGGTAGTACATCAAGAAATAAATGGCTAAAGCAGCAGCTAAAGCACTGGGCAGGAGGAGCTCCGCATCAATCGGTCCCTGCCACCATCTGCACAATGTTCTGCAGCCCTCCCAGGGCAGAGTCTGGGCACCACACTCCTGAGTCGTCCTGTCCAGCTCCTTGCTGAGCTGTCTCTATCTTCAGCAGGAAATTGGGCTTGGGAGACTGGAATAGGACACGTCACCTCATGGTTTCCACATTTGGGTTGCCCTCCCCACGGAAGAACTGGTTGCTGCGGTCAGTCCTCACGACATCTTTATCCACGGTGAACTGCACGTTACGCCAGAAATCCTTGTGTTCATCTGGAGTCATCGCAAGCCTGCAAAGAGAGCAGCAAGGTGAGTATGTGGCACGACGCAGATGTGATTGCCACCAGGAACAACCGGCCTTAGATCTGAGACAGAAACTCCTCTTTCTGCACAGATTTCTCACTACCAGAATACCAGACCAGCAGGTCTGTCTAGAAAAACAGATTTTCTATCCAAATGCAATACTAGAAGGAACTCCTTGATTGCAGGTGGGATGACCTGATGTGTGTCCTGTGCTAAACTGGTCGGGCGCCGCTGCAGGAGCAGCTTCTGCTGCCCCTTGCGGGTGGCACCCCAGAGCTCGGCACTCAGAGCTTAGTGCATCACCTAATTAATAATAAAATCTTTCTTCTGCTTAAATCTACTCACAGCTAGTTTAAAATACAGTTTTACAGCAATAATCTCCTTGAATTAGATCTTCTTTCTTCCCTATTTTTACATCCAAATATATTATGAAGATGTGTAAGATTTCCTTTTCATCTTCAATGCGCTGAACGAGACGTGTTAAGCTGCTAGTCTTGCCCGTGAGGAACGTTTTCCTCCATAGCACAGACAAGGCTCTTCCAGGAACCCAACATTTACATTTGTGTTATATAGCACTAGCTCAAGGAGAAGTCAGCTGTGCCTGACGGCCCCTCCTTCACCCAGCCCTCTCACTTCCACACTCCATCAGCTCCTCCTGGAGAGGAGGAGACAGAGGCACTGCCATTCACTTGTGCTATTAATGTCACTTAGGGCCCAAGGAGTGAGGAGCAGCAGAGGAGGAAGCTGGGCTGCTACCTTTTCTCCTGGATCTCCAAGTATTCTTTCCTCTTCTGTATCCTCAGTGCCTCCCTCTCTTCGGAGGTGGACTCGTAGCTGTAGTAGCGCAGCAAAAAGGGCCACACTTCTCCACGGATGGCAATATCAATCCCACCAAAGAAAATGGCCTGGAAAAAGGAGCAAAAGTTATGACTGGTCCAGATTTAGCATTCCCAAACACAGCAACAAGAATCTGCCAGCTCCTATGCTTTGGTGGCTTTGCGTTTCTTTCCTGACAAGTGACGCCTTGATTCAAGCTCCTGCAATTTGCACATGTTTAGAGGGAAAGTGCTGGCCTTCTATTCCCAGACGAGACACAAATCGGGCTCATTTCAATGTCAATAACCCCCCCTGGAGAGGCTCTATGATTAACGTGTCGTTCTCATGTCACGGCTTAATCCCCAATTCTCGGAGACACTGCATTTCACCACAAACTTCTCTCTCAGGGCTCGGACCCAGGGCTCCCCTGCAATTCCCACTTCCCTGCAGCAATCTCCGCTCTCCTTTCTGTGACCTGTTCACAGTGCATCTCGCGAGCGCGTCTAGCGCGGGACCCTTGGAGGGCAGAGAGTGGGGAGAGCTCCGCGCGGGGCTGCTGCTCTGCTCCCAGCGGGACCCCAGCCCTGCTCCAGGCCAGGGGTGCCGCAGCACGAGGGCGGTGGGCCCCGCTGGCAGGAGAGCAGGGAGGGCGCGCGGCCGCCCCGCTCACCTTCTGCAGCTTGTACTCCTCCTCCACCTGGCCGGCCTCGTTGAGGTGGCGCAGCCAGGCCGCCACGTCGAGGCGCTTGTGCGCGTTCTCCTCGGGGTGCGTCTCCGAGGACGGCAGCTTGGGGCGGCGGATGGAGAACTGCATGCACGTCTTCTCGTCCGCGAGCTGCTGCACGCGGGGCACAACAAACCCAAACCCAAAGGCAGGCTGGAGGCGGCAGCCGCGAGAGCAGCGGTTGCAGCACGGGGAAGCCTTTCTGCACGACCCTCCCAGGAGCAAGCAGTAAGGCACCGTGCCTGGGAAGGGCTTGATTTTTCTTTTTGGATTATAACCATTACAATAGCAAGAGTGATTAGAATAATTAAAAATCTGAGTGCACACAAAACAGCTTCATCTTACAACAAGAAAAGAAAAAATTCCATTCCTCCCCCAGTCTTATCCCTGACCTGAAGCTGAATTAATGCTGCTTACAGCAAAACTTCACCCTGCCAGGAATGCCTGCAATAAATTACATATGATTGGCCATATACAAAGGGATTGCTGTTAGGCAAGCGGGGAACTGCGCTGCCAGGCTCTCTAAGGGCACTCATGATCCCAGTGCAAGACTGCAGCTGACATTTAATTTAAAAATCAAAGGTTGTTCAATGCAAAAAGTGAGCCCATGCGACCATAATAAGAAAAGCAGCAGGGGGCTCGGTGGGAAGGATGGAAATTTAAAAACCACTGGTTCTAATAAGCACATACAGTATCTTAAACAGATAATTAAAGAGCTCTTATCACATTTGTATGTAGATTGAACAAAATATGGCAAGATGCCTTGTCAAAACATTTTCCGATGCGGCGTGCTGCGCTTCACCAAATGGATGAGAGGCTCTGACCACATCCTGGAGCCAGCGCAGCCGCCTTCCCGGCCACCTCGCGCACACCGGGGCCCTCCTGCTTGGCATGGGCGGCCAAATAGTAGCAGGACCTCGGGCTGAGCTCCCCTGCTCCCCAGGGAGAATGGGAATGGATGAGGGCAGCAGAGCCCGAGCCGTGCAGTTGTAACCCAAAGAGCATCCAGCCCGCCGGAGCTGCCGCTCCATCCAGGACACCATTCCCAGCTTTCCCTGCCCAGCACCCAGGAGCATCCGTGCTGGACACACATGCTGAGAAACCCCGGCTAGGCCCTGGGGGCTGCCTCGGTACCTGCTCTTTGAGGCGGGTCTCCGTGCAGTATTTCCACTGCTGAAACACTTCCGACAGCTTGTCCAGGCCGCCGTGGTGGAAATGGAAGATCTTGTACTGACTCTCCCTGCTCGCAACCACCAGCTGGCCGCACGTGCAGGCCTCGTCGCTGCGGGGACACCAAGGGCATCAGCCGCAGTGCAAGACACGGGAAAGGAAAGCAAATTATGAAGAAATGAGCACCGGGTCCTCCCTTGAAGCGGGGAGTGGAAACGATTTCCCAGCTCGGGACATGGCTGCAATGACCACAGGATCCTTCTGAGCCTGTTTGCTCCGGCCTGCTGAGAGACTCCTTTCCCGCTCCGAAATGGGGAGGGATTAAGTTTTGTCTTCCCCGGAGAACAAAAGGGACAAGAAGCCTATCCCAGCAGCAGGACACAGCAGACAGCTCCTAGGGAGGTGCAGATCCCACTGCACACAGTCTGCTCTGAAGAAGCATGGAGAAAAATCGAAAAATGGGAGTAAAAGACGCTTTAGTATCTTTTTTAATAAATTGGAATTTAAGAGCTTGGGAGCACTAGTACCCTAGGGAAGCCCAGTGAGTGGCAGGCTATGGGGAAGGGAGGGCAGATAAGGAGGTTTTCCACATTCCCAGTTATCTGGCACGTTCAGACCGACCCCAGCACCTTTGCCTTGCTGGGGGAAAAGCTCCTGGAGCCCCAGGCTGCAATGCCAGGGCTCTCCTTGGGAGGCGGCGGGAACGGTGCCCAGCGGAACCGCGGGGCGAGGGCGGCCGAGAACCCACCTGAAGAACAGCCGGAGGGACCTCATGTGGCCCAGGTCCACTCTGAAGACGCCGCCGACCTGCTCCAGGGCAAACACCTTCTGCTGCTCGTCCCAGCCGGCGCCTGGCACTTGCCCGGCGCTCTCCGGGCACGGGGCGCCGGGGTCCGGGCTGCAGGCAGAGCTGCTCGGGCAGGCCAGGCGGCTGTCGCACGTGTCCCTGCGGGGGGGAACCCGGCGGGGGTCAGCCAAGGACAGCGACCATCCCGAGGTGAGGCCAGAGAGGCTTTAACAGCAACAAAGACACCAAACGGGAAGGCTTTTTTATTGAAATCAGCTCCCTCCTAGATTTCCCCTAAACCCCGTTCCTCGTGATTGCAAGCGGGCCTGACAAGCCCAGGTTCATGTGGGCAAACCTCAGACAAATGGTTTCTGCTTGAGGACTTGAAGCACTGGAGGGTTAAAGAGCAGGAGGTTGTACAGGAGCTCTTTAACCCAGTGCGTGGCAAAGAGAATGAGCCCGGTGCTTCCCAGGGAGCTCGGAGCTCACAGTGCCCCAGATATTCAGCCCTAAGAATGGCTCAGTTTGGATTCAAAAACCCCTTACGCCTGCAACCCATCCAGATCCCCCAAGGAAAATATCACTGCTTTGAGATTGGAGTGAATCTGAAACTGTGACCCCTCGCTTCCTGAAAAGGCCAATGCGGGCGAACAATCGCAGCGCGGGCTCTGAATGGGCGCCGCTGTGAAACCAGCGTTTGCAAGACAAGGCGAGTAGCAGGTCTAAAGGCAGCCCCCTGCAACGCCACTTTATGCAGTGTTTTCTAATCTGCTTACCTAACAATGTGGGCGCTGAACGCTGATAATCAGAGCCCAGCGCGCGCCGCGCGGCGGCACGAGGGCAGCCCGGCCGGCACCCCCTCTCGAGGGCTCCCGCGAACGCCCGGCCCCAGCCCCGAGCACCCACACGGGAACAACCCCAGCGCCCCGGGGCTCTGATCCGATGGGCTGGGGCCTCGGGGCCGCCACGCGAGCGGGGCACAGGGGCTGTGCCACCTGGGCAAGCAATGACCGACCACGCTGTGACACCGGGTGCCCCCAGCACAGCTGGCTCCCTGCTCAGCGGGGTATTGCCGCTCGGCAGCATAAGGAGATGCCTTTTCTCCACTCAACAACCAGTTCCAGCCATCAACTCTATCTGCCTTGCACAATGTTTTGTAGCCCCTAAGAAAGAAAACACTTCTACAAAGCAGCTCCTCGTCCTCCGCCACGCTACAGGCTTCTCCTGCTCCAAATCCGGGCATTCCTCCCACACCAGGGATATTGTCCCTGTGCAGCAGCTCCACACACGCTCAGCCGCTCACTGCTCAGCCCAAGCATCGGACACCTACAGCACGAAGAGACAGAAAAGCCGATTATTACTGTTTGCGCTGCAGCACCAGGGCGTCAGTCCCAGGGGAAGGCTATTCCAGCAGCAAGGACCTGCAACACGACGTGACACGTGTCCCTGCAGGAGGGCCAGGGGCCACGCGGCAGCTCGGCGCGGCAGGGAGCAGCGTCTTGCGGGAGAAGCCCTGCACCCCGGCTGCCAGCACCCTCCGCATCATGAGCTCCGCAGTGTCATCCGAGCATCCGTGCGATGGGAATTACGCGGCGCTCGCTCCCCGAGGAGGAGCCCTTCTCCGTTCCTCCGCTCTTCCCCACAGGCACCGACCCTCCAGGTTCTTCTTCTTTGCAGCAAGGTGAAAGGGCTGGCGGCAGCATCAGCCACCTAAAACTCCCGTGACAGCTGCAAATAAATAACCCAGCAGCAAGAGTTGGGAGCTATTCTGGAATGCCTCAAAACTGGGTGCAGTAACTGCGTGGACGAAGGGAACCTGCCGTTCTCACAGCCAGTTTGTCCCCCGCAAGATACGCACAGAGCGAATGTGGAGGGTGCCCAACTCGGCTGCACGTGCAGGAAAACGGATCGGCAATTCGGGATTTAGTGTTTCATGCGAACATTCCTGCCTGTTCCAAACCATGGTGCAGAGGAGGCCTGGAAGGACACAGGAGGAACAGGTGGCACCTCCAGGGCAGCGAGACCATGCGGGTGCAAGGCCACCACACGGCTCCTCGCCCTGATGGGCACAGGAGGACAAGCAGGGGGAGAACGGTGTGAATTCATCCTTCGCTCAAAATAACCGGAATTTGCATGTCCTTGGGCTCCAGGAGCCCCTGCAGCACCCATCCACACTGACCCCGGAACAGGGAGAAAGGGATTTAGATGCTCGCTTGGGCTGGACGAAGGGCTGTGCAGCATCTTGAGTGTCAAAACACACTCGTGCACAAGTATCTTGGTACATCTGCAGAAACAAATCCAACCGTTCTTCCCATTCAAAAACGGAATCCGTGAAAACCTGCCCAGGACGTTGCAGTACAAAGTGCATGAATGTCAACACAGACTTTCCGGGGGCCTGTTCCGCAGGCCTCGCATTGATCTGTTTGCTTTCAAAACATAAATTTCCCCACGTTGAACTGCACTAAATGCTATTTAGTAGCTAATTAACTTTCCGCGCTGAAAACCTCCTGTAATTGCACTTCTTTCACCTTTTTTCGCGCGCGTCCCCGGGGACTCCGCAGCTGTCCAGCCGCATTTGTTCTGCTCGGCTCCGTCTCGCGGGCACGGGCCCCGCGCTGACAACGGGCTGCCAATCACGGCGGCGGCGGCGGCCACCCGAGACCAAATTAGGAGCACTCTGCCACCGAGCAGCTCGCCCCGCTGAGCTGCCGTAGCGGGAGAAGAGAAGGTTAGGAGCAATAATTGCATCCTCGGCGCTCGCCACCGGCAAGCGCATTCGGCAGCGCTTCCGAAAGCCAAAGTGCTGCCCTTGGCTCTTCTCCTTATGCTGCTGACATTGGCGATGCAGAGAAGCTGCTCTTCGTGCCCTAGGAGGCAAAGCTGTTTGGAGGGGGAAAAAGCAGGGAGCAATCACCCCAAAACTGCTTGGATGGGAAAAAGCTTGCAAGGAATCACCCCAAACCTGCTTGGATGGGAAAAAAAGCAGGGAGGAACCACCCCAACCCTTGGTGTATGGGAGCCAAGCAGCAAGGAATAACCTCAAACCTGCTTAGATAGGAGCCAGGCAGGGGGAATCACCGGGCAGACCCAGCTCCTTTCCTGTCCCTACAGAGCTACCTACAGAGCCGGCTTTGTTGCCTCCTAATTCCTTCCTCGGCGCCCTCGGGGCCTGGGGGGCTTCGGGTGGCAGTGGGGGGCACAACCCAAACAGCCCTGCTCGCCGCCAAAGGGCCCCCGACCTGCTATAAATTAAACTGCAGGGAAAGCAAAATAAACGGAGAATTCTTGAGTTAACTGTTTTGAATGTAAGGGGGAAACAAAGCAAAAACGCCAAAGCTGGCAGTGAATTAGCAGGAGTGTAACGTCTCTGACCCAATGCCGGGCTGGAACGCAACGGACCCGCTCCGAGACGGGTCACCTCTGTGCGAGGGATGGCAGGCGAGGACGCCCCGGCGGGACGGAGCCCGGCTCTGCTCCGAGCACACAGCAGAACTGGCAGAGGTTGCTGCTCATGCATAAAACGCACACAGCTCCCGAGAACGCGGCGCACGCTGCTCCGTGATGCAATTTTTACCCGTTTTAAGGGAGGAAACTATTCCAAAAGCTGACTGGCACATTTCTGCACTCCACACTGAGAAGGGGCACCTCATGCCTAGGCTTTCGCTCATTAATAAATCAATCGAAATGCAACTCCTAAGAAAATTCCTTAGATGGAAAAAGTGATTTCTCAGCAAAGCCCCCAAAAGAATGTTTGCTTTGCAGCCTATTCCAGCCCAGAAAAGGGGATCGTTCTTACCGCTGTTTATTTTATTTTTAAAACCAATGGATTATTTTGCTTTTTTCTCTCAGTGCTACCCATGCAAAGATAAAATTCTACACCATTTATGCTAATTACAATCAAGCCTTCTAAAGCGCGGTCCCTGGAAAGCCCTGGGGATTACCTTTGTTCCTGGATTCCTGGCTCCGAGTGAAGCCCTGGGAATTTCGGGGACCCTTCCCGAGCGAGGACAGCACAGAGGAGGGGGAAGCTGCCTCCAAGCGCGGTCCCGAGTCGCCGTCCATGCCCAGCGCCGCTATAACGGCCAGGACTGAGCCAAGAGGGCAGAGGCGACGCGTGTTTATTTGCACGTGCTGCTTTTGGAGGGACAAGCGCTTGTATTTTGATCCAGTCAGAGCAATTCTTCCCTCCCCAAGCCATGGGTAGTGGGCAGCGCCATTTAGCTCTGGCCACAACTAGGGTTTCTAGGTGTTATGATAACAGGTAACAGAGATAACGTGAGAACATCCTGGGGAGGGTGTCCCACTGCAGCGGGACAGGGGAGAGGGCTCCGGGTTCCCTCAGCTAGAAGGTCAGTTGCCCATCACCGCCCCATTTGCCACGGGGCATTTGTGAGCGATGGAACTGGGCGTCAGAACAGCATAAAAAATTAAATAAAAATTGAGACCCCCCTCCCCAAACGACCCTCTCCGAACTGCTGCCTCCGCACGGCAGCTCCGCGCCCCGGGACCGCGGCTGCCCCGCGGAGCCGCCGTGGGGAGACACGCGCAGGGTGAGCCCGGACTGGCGGCCCCAACGGAACCGGGCGGAGCCGAGCCTGGAGCCGAGACCGGAGCGCGGAGCTCGGAGCCTGCAGCGCAGCGCGGAGTTCGGATCCGAGCGCGGAGCCGAATCCGGAGCGCGGAGCCGAATCCGGAGCGCGGAGCCGAACGCGCCCCCTGGCGGCCGCGGCACCGAGCCGCGCGGAGCCCACCCGAGCCCCGCGGCCGCCCCCTCGGGCTGCGCTCGCCACGGCCCGGGCCCCTCCTGGGTGCCCCCCACCGCCACCCCGCGGCTAACCCCCCCAAAGGTCCTTGCACCCCCACAGCACCCTACAAGCCCCAGCACCCCACGAGCTGCAGCGCCCCACGAGCTGCAGCACCCGGCTTCTTGACTGTCACTATTCTCTGCCACCGAAATCGGGCAGCAAACTGAAGGAGAAAAAAATAACCCACCCAAACCTGCTATAATTAATGTTCTTGCTGTTCAAATATTTATGCAAAGCAAGATGGATCCTTCTGCCATCTCCTGCATGTGCCCAACCTCCTCTGCTTTGCTGCCTGCAACAACTTTAATTGATTAAGGATGTTAATTGATTACACAGGCCTCAAAGAGCCGCACCCCTTACTCTGACCCCTGCAGCGGCTCCCTAGGCCCAGCTTAGAGCCACCCCAGCTTAACAGGGAGGGAAAACAGCACGGTCCTTCCAGGCAAGGTCTGGGCACGGTTCTGCCAGGCTCAAGGGGTGAAACGGAGGCAGGAGCTTCCCTGCGTTACCGCACGGGTGGCCCCAAACCAGGCACCGCTGCGGGAGCCCAGGCGCTGGGCTGGGGGCGGTGGGCGCCGGTGGGTGACACAAGATGCTGCAAGGGTTGCAGCAGCCCCGGCGCCGTCCCCGGTGGCCGCCGCGCTCCCAACACGCCGCCCGCTAATCCCCAAACAGGGTGACGCAACAGGCGCTGCCGCGGTGACACCCGGCTCCGCGCAACAGCAGCTCCTCAGAGTTTATTCAAAACATTATCCTGATGGGCGACCACTTACTGAAACTTATCGTTTCCAAGCGATGTCCAGTGCAATCTGGGGGCCGAGAGGCACTGCGGGCACCGTGCAGTGCGGATCTGCAGCCAGAGGAGGGAGCTGGGTCCCCGGCTCCAGCCGCTGCCGTGTTCCTCTGAACAGCTGGTGTTAAACTAACTGCTAGGAACGCACCAAATGCACATGCAAATATCTCACATCACTGCACTTCTTAGATGCTTTATAATAGCAAGAAGGAGTTGGCACCTATTACAAAACTTCCTCTATAAACCCTGTCCTTACTGCCATTCTGTGGGTCTGAAATGAGCCCATAAAATAAAGCAGCACCTTGTCTTCAATGCCGCATCTTCATGTGGCCTGCACATTCCCGGCCCACACAAACCTCTTGTTTCTCCTGATTTCAGGCGCAGTTTCAGAGCTCAGCAACATGCACAAACCGGGCACCACGGCACGTCAGGACCGCGGCACTGGGGGCCGCCCCCAGCGCAGGGCAGGGGGCTGCAGACGCTGCCTCCCCGAGCCGCGACCCGCCCGAGTTCTGTGGTTCTGTGGTTCTGTGGTTCTGCGAGTTGCTCTGCGCACCTCCCTCGCCCACGTGCCCTCTTTCCTCCCGTGCAGTTTACCGCAGGTGCCACGGAGAAGGGCTGACATTTACATACACCTGTGCTGACCAAAATGCCTTTAGGACAAGTCTATCTGAGCGGGACCATGCGTGACCGCCACCAAAACGGGCTCGCACGCGCAGACTCCGGGTCACCGCGGGGCTCCGGGGAGCGGCCCCGCGCGAGCAGTGGCCGGGATGTCACCTCGGCACGACGAGCAGGAGCCTCCGCCCCAGCAGAGCTGCCCTGCCGGGGCTCCACGACGGCACCCGGCAGGCCCTGGAGCCCTCACGGACGCCCCGCACGAGGAGCTGAAGCAGGACCAGTCAACAGGCAATTTCCTGGGGGCTTTACAGGTGCTAGAGCACAGGAGGGATCACAGCGAGCCCGAAGCAAGGCGGGATACTGAGCTCAACACCAGTGCGAGGCCTTGGGCCCCCTCCAGAACCTCTAGGCTCAGCAACAGCCCCCAGCCACTCGCCCCAAACTGGGAGAAAGGCCGAACTCACCCGCTGTCGTTCTCCAGAAACACAGAGCTGCTGCTCTTCCCGAGGGCTTCACTGATGGGGGAGAGGCAGAAGGGCGAGGAGAAGGCGTCCGAATCGGAGTCCAGCGTGCTGTCCCTGCTCCCGTCGTCAGCAGACAGCTCCAGGGAGCCCTCGTCCTCGCCTGGCTCGGCCCGGCCCTCCACACCGTCCTCCGGCCCCTCTGCCGACAGCTCCGGCCGGTTCTGCTCCTCCTGAGAGCCGACCGTGGACGAGATCCCCGAGTCGCTGCGGGCCGCGCCGCCCTGCGCCGGCAGCTCCCCCTGCTCCGGCGGGCAGCTCCCGGCGGGACCCTCGCTCAGCAGCAGCGACGTGGCCGGGCTGTCCCCATCGGTGAGGGCACCGGTGCCACCGGGCTGCGCCGGGGCCGCGTGCCGCGCGGCGCCGCTGCCCTGGCCGCGCCGGCCCCGCTTGCGCGGCGCCCTGCGCACCGGCGAGCCCTCGGGGGTGACGTAGCGCAGCGCCTCCTCGTCCTGCCGCTGGATGCGCGCGTTGGGCACCCACGCCAGGATGAGCGTCCGTCCCAGCAGCTCGTCCTTCTCCATGTACACGCACAGGTAGCCTTCAAGAGAGCACAGGACCAACCGCTTGCTCCCAGGAAAACATCTCTCCGCGGGAAAACAAACTTTCCATTTACCACTAGAGAGAAACCTGACCAATAAATGGTTCACTTCTCAACATTATCCAGTATTTTCAAATAATTTCAAGTCTGCATTTTTTTTTTAATAAATTCCCTCTGTCCTAACTGGTCACAGAAATCACAAGCAATTATTTCAGCTTCCTGGACGGATTAGTAATCAAGAGCACATTACGAAATACGTTGCCACATGAAAACTTTCGCTGTTGGTTAGTTAAACAACTTCAAGTGCCAGCTAAACATTCGTTTCTCAAGAATATTTACCTTAGCGTAGCTAAAGAATCCGCACAGAAAGCCAAGAAGAAATGGTCACATACGTGAAAGAGGGAAGTGGGGTCAATGCTCAGGGAGTAATTGATTTTGTGAAGTTAGGCCAATAGCCACTACTCCCTTTGAGGCAAACATGGAAGAATATTCATGAAAAGAATATGCTTGAAAACATGAAAGAATTTCACTTGGTAACAAGTGAAAATAAAGGGACAGGGCAACATTTATCTTCATTTATTCCAGTGCATGGGGCCACAATCAGTTTCCTTTCTTTCCCTTTCCTAATGGTTGCTGAGGTCACCCTAGCAATGACAGCTACATGATGACACTTGGCTTTGAAGAACACACAGATCTGAAAAAGCAGCAGAAATGACAACTTTATCCATCTTCTGCTGATAAAAAAGGTCCCATGGAAACAGGTAAATCCCTCCTAGGCCAGGAGAGAAAGGGGCATAGCATCAATTTTCCTATTAAAAGAAGAGCTGACAGATCAGCTTGTGCCTGGCTCTCCTTCCCCGGAGAGCCAGGCTCCCAGTGGGGCCTTGTCATTCGTTAGCCCCCAAAACGCAAGATGCAAGGGGGACATCCTTGCCTCCAAATGCAATGCAAGGGGCACCACGAGCGCCCGGGGCGAGCGCAGAGCGCGCGCAGGAGCCTCTCACCTGGGTGGTGCTCGCCCGTGCCCTGCAGCAGCTCGGGAGGGTGCACGCACACATTGTTCTTGGAGTAGATAATGTCCCCGTCGAGCACGGAAGATGAACTGCCGCCGCCACCAGGATTTAGGGTCAGGAGGTCGGAGGCTTTGGAAGAGGCGCGTCGGAGGAGCCGCCCCAGAGACATCGCCGGGGAAATGTTTCCATTATCTGTCAGCTTTAATCAGGAGCCAGGTTCAGAAGATCTGCCAAGGAGGAGGTAAGAATTGTGTTAGAACAAATCTAATATCCGCGCAGCACATGCTGCAACTACCTGGGAAGGAAGCGGCCCCCGTCAGCTGCAACATCGCCCCTGCAACGCAAGCACGAGCCAACACTGTGGTTATGTGTAATCGCCACCCAGGTCTGAAACACGCTGATTACGGAAGAGAGAGAAGAGATCCCCCCCTTCTTGGAGAAGGGAGGTTAAAGAAGGGTTTTTTTCCAGAGATAAGCAGCGAGGGAGCCCTGTTCAACACAGAGGGCCAACCTAGTAACAGAGGGTGCACGCCAGCTCAAGGCAACTATTGCAATATCACCAGCTAATTTTAGGTACCCTGGAATAGGATCCCCGAGGAGCGGCCAGAGGAGCCTTGCCCTGCGCCGAGAAGGGTGTGCAGCAGGGCTGCTGCCGAGGGAGCTGCAGCGGCTGCAGAGGGGCTGCCTGCGCGGCACCCGGGCACGCAGACCGCAGCTGGGTCTGGCCCGGAGCAGCTCCACAGAGCGCCCCAAACGAGCCAGGGCAGAGCGGGCTCTGGCGTTTCTTTTTATTTGCTCAGCCTTCCTTGGTGGTGAACCGGCCGGCGCGACCTGGCACTCGCCGTGTCCCGCTGCGGTGCCGGGCCCTGCTCCGCTGCCGCGGGAGCGGCTCCGCGCGGCCCTCGCGACAGCAGCCTCGCTCGGGGCACAGAGCACACAGCAGGTAGCCGGGACAGGAGAGACGAACAGGAGAGCAGACCCCAACTTACCGGCCAGGGGTGCCGTAGGCAAGAAGTATCTAGGGGCCCAAAGCCAGATCTGAACAGCTCCTACTGCTTTAAATCCAGTTTTCTCTGCATAAAGGAGGAAATGAGAGAGCGGAGATGGTAAAGCAGAAACTAGAGGTTCCAGCTAGCAGAGTAAAAGCTGCATGGAAGGGAAATGGTTGCAGAGCCGCGTCGCAAGGCGCCGGTTCCTTGTCCTGCTGCGGGAGAGGCGCAGAGCTGCAACAGCAGCGGTGTGGGGCAGCGCAGCAAGGGCAAAGCCACGGGGGAGGATCAACGGCTGCTCCCTGCAACGTGACGGGGATTCATAGGGAAGGAGCATTCGGATCCTGCCCAACACCTGGTGCTTCTGCATTCCCGGGCACGCAGGAGGGAGGCGCGTGAGCCCGCAGAACCGGAGGTCGAGAGCAGGATGTTTGCCCATATGGGAGTTTATTCTGCGGCTGCCGACCCGCCTGCACAGAGCTCAGGAAGCCAGGGAGGAGGCAGGCACAGCATAAACCCGAGCACCTCGTTTTCAGGTCCAGTTTAATGTCAGCCCAAGCTGGCAGGCACAGCATAAACCCGAGCACCTCATTTTCAGGTCCAGTTTAACGTCAGCCCAAGCTGGCAGAGGCCATGGGTCACTATCAAGTGGCTGCATCCTCTGTGGAATTAAATATTTAAACACTCCGAAGAGAAGACTAGGCAATGGAATGGGCATCTGCAGGGCTGGTCTAACCCCACCACCAGGGCACGAGTCTGAAACACGTCGTGATTCTGCCTCTCCATCCCAAAAGACAGGAGCTAACAGGACACCGATCAGCAAGTGTCAAAACCTCCATCTCCACGGGCTGCTCCACCCCGAGGCCTCTTCCACACGGCAGGAAATCTCTGCCGGACAGCGGAGCCCGGGCCGTGAGGGGAGGCAGATACTAGAGCTGCCCAGCTTGGCAAGGCAGGAACTTCATCCTACAGCTCAGTCAACTCATTCACACCATTAAGCACGTGCTTTTATAGCCATTTTCTATTTATCCCCTGATTTTAAGGGATTCTTTGCAACGTGGCAGGACCAACCCTGCTCTCCAGCAGCTGAAGCACCGAGCTAGCTCGCAAGCCCTTGCTGAGCACCAGTATTTACCGAACTCGCACGTTTTCACGTCCCGCACAGGAGCTGCCTCCCTTTGTGCAGCCCCGGAGCGTGTCCCGCAGCCCCGGAGCTCTCCCGGCCCACGAGCGGGGCTAGCGCGGCGCTGCCGTGTCCCGCGAGGAGAGGCCGCACGTCGGGGACGCAGGACGCTGGGGTCCGCGCTCGGCCCACGGCTCGCGCTGCTCCGCGCACACGGGGCCCCGCTCGCGACGCCCTCCGTGCGAGCGGCAGCACGAGAGCAGGGCAGGGCTGCACAAAGCACCAGCCCTTGGCCGAGCGCACGCGAGGACGGACGCGCGGCGCGGGGAGCCGTCCCGAGGCTGTCCCGTTTAACGGGGACAATGACGGAGGCACCAGGAGGGTCTCCCGTGGCAGGACGGGCTGCGCACCAAGCCCTGCGGCGGCTCGGGACTCGCGGGAAGGAGCCGGCACCGGCCTCACGGGAACATGGGCCGGTCCCGGTGCAGCGTGCCCCCGGGCCAGCGCCCCCGGGTCCCATCACCCGTGCTGGGAAAGGGGGGAAAAAGGGGGATTTTGGGCAAACCTAGGCGAGGAGAAAGGTGGCTTCACACCGAGTTTCGCACGGACACCAGCAGGACGGGCGCGACACCTGCGAACCGGGCAGCGGAGCCGGCCCCGGGACCCCCGGAGCCCTGAGCGGCCCTGTCGCTCCCGGTGGAGCTCCCGTTTGTATCCGTTCAGGCCGCGGCGGCGCCGGGGCCGGGCGCGAGCGGCAGAGCCGCTGCCGGGGCCGCCCGGGGGAAGCTCGGGAGGCTCCGCGCCGGAGCCGCCGCCGGAGGGAGCGACACAAAGAGCGGGACGGGGCGCAGGGCCGGGGGACCGGGCGGCCCCGGGACCGGGCAGGGCCCGGCCGGGCCGGGGCGGGGCGGGGCGGGCGCTCCCCGGGGTCCCGCGGAGCCGCCCCCGCCCCGGTGCTGCCCCCTCCTCCCCGGGCCCCGCCAGCCCCCCCCGTTGCCAGGCACCCACCGGGAACCGCCGCCGCCGCCGCCCCGTTCGGCCCCGTGAGGCGGGGCGGGGCCTCTGCCAGCCCCGCCCACCACGCGGCCGAAGGGGACGTGGCTCCATGCGGGGGGTGCCCCGGTTTTCGCCCGCCGTTTTCGGGGCGACGAGGGGCTCAGACGGCCGGCAGAGAGGGGACACCCGCTCATCCCGCCGTGTCCGCGCAGCCCGCGGGCCGCCCCGGCTCCGTAGCCTGCTGGCGCCGCCCCGCCGGCCGCGTGGTGCGGTCCGGCTCCCCCCCTGCGGCGGGCGGAGGTGGTACGGCCCGCAGCGCCCCACGTGACCGCGTGTTGACGGCGTTGCCTCGGCAACGGGAAGATGGCGGAGCGAGTGAGTGCGGTTCCGTGCCCGGGACGGGTCTCGCCGCCGCCGTTGCTCCCGCTCCGGTCCGGTCCGGTCCGGTCCAGTCCGGTCCGGTCCGGTCCGGTCCGGTCCGGTCCGGGAGGGGATTTAAGCTGCGGAAACAGGCCGGGGAGCAGGGCTTGCGTTGCGGGGTACAAAGGGCCCTTAGGACACGATGCGCCGGTTACGGCGCTCCTGCGGCTTGAGCGGCCCCTGCCCCGACCCCGCTGCGGTGCTGTCTGCCTGCTCAGCTCTGTGCCTTTGTCGTGTGCCAGGCAGAGCAGCCGCAGGACGAGGGTGGCGGCGAGGAGGAGGCTGCTCCCCCGAGGGACCGAGAAGAGATGTTGCTGCGGGCTGAAGGAGCCGCCTCGGGGGCTGCGGAGCTGTCCGTGGGTTCTGCAGAAGTGAGCTGATATGATAATATAAATATGATATTATCCCCCAGATCTATCACCAGTGCTTAGAACGGTAAATTCCCCTGTTGCAGAAACACTGTTGTTGTTGTAAACAGAAAAATGGCCTGGAGGGAACGACGAGAAGCCAGTTGCTTAAACAAGGAGTGTAAGAGCTCTGACAAAATTGGAGAAGTTCCCCTTTTAACCGATATCTGTGTGGAGGTTCTCTCATCAGGAACTCACAGCTTGCTGGTTTATCTGTGGGGTCAGTGTAGAACAGGGCTGACTTGTTGGTTCTTTGTCCATATTGTTCATGTCTCGTGGCGACAGAGATGAGTGGAGGTTTAAGGAGCAAAAGAAGTCCAAGCGAGGACCTGTTTCACATGGTGGATTTTATGTTTCAGGACAATTCTGCTGCGGCCTTCTTGGGGGAAGACGAAGTGGAGAGCTGTCCTCCCGATCTTGATGCCATGGAGCAGCCCGTGCCCGTCACGGGCAGCGGAGGCCCTTCCCTCGCGCCCTCAGCCCTCACGCAGGCATCGGCCCTGTCGGTGCAGGAGGAGAGTCCTGAAGAGTCAGGTATCCACCACTCCTGTGTTGGCAGTGCTCACCACATCTCAGACACGCTATCTAGTTTTCTCCTAGAATGTTGTGAACCCAACTGGGGGCCTAATGCTATAAAATCTAAGCCTCACCACCGACCCATGCAAGTGCTCAGAGCCAACCTTTAAATTCCTTATAACTCTTCTCTTTATTTTTATGGTAACTCTACTTTTATGATTTATATTCTCAATATTATAACATTGCGAGATGCTGCCCAAGAAAGGAGGCTCTATTATGTATTTTCTTCCACCAAGACATCTATTTATCTTGGCATATCCTCTAATACCTAGAATTTCCTTTTTGTGACATGTCCCTTTTGGTTTTGGAGTTCAGGTGACCCCACAGAACCCATTTCTCTGTATTCGGAGGCTGCCTTTGAGGAATTCAGTCAGTATGCAAGGGAGCGTGGTAGCCAACGGTGGCAACAGGAACAGCAACAGCACGGACCTGAGGAAATTGAGATAGGTGGAAGAAGAGAGGAACCAGCAGAAGAAACACAGCTGATTGTCTTGGATCCGGAACATGTAAGAAGTCCCCAAACCTTGTCATTTTCTTTTTGCCAACTCATCATCTTTATTGCTAGCCATGGAAAGCCTGAGAGATTAACTGTAAGCGGTGATTTACTCATAGGTCAAAAATAACTTTTAGAAAGTTACTAACTCCTGAAGAATATGTCTGCTCCATCAGTATTAACCTTGGATTTCCAGGCTGAGAAGTGAACAGGATAGCAGGCAAATCTGATAAGCTTTGGTATTCCTGGAAGAGAAGGACTTGCAGCAACGATAGGTGGCTTGCAAACATTCTCAGCATCTATTTTCTGCTGTAAACAAATGCACGCTATGTAACTTCTCTCACTTGCTAGATTGTTTATAGCCAGAGCAGATCTCATAGCAGAAAATACAATGTTGTATTTGATAGTAGGTATAGCATTAAGGTTACTACATAATTGATTTACATAAGTATGTTACAGTTATCAACATCTTCACGTATTTCTTTACAGCCTCTAATGAGAAGATTCCAGGCTGCCCTGAAGAATTACCTTACCAAGCAGATGGAAAAAGTGAATCTGGATCTTCAGGAGCTGGTATAGCCCTCTGACTTCCCCAGTGTCCATGCGCTAGCTGATGCGAGTTAACTGACTTCCTCTTGTGGTTGCAGAGGACAGCCACAAAGAAAGGCAAGGTGCAGAGAGAAGAGCTCGGGGTGGTTCTTTACGGAGTGCAGCAGCAGCTGGCCCAGCTGCAGATGGAGCTGGAGAGGAGCCGGGAGCGCCATTCCCAAATAGCTGCCGTGCGGCAGCAGCTGGACGGGGACGTGGAGGCACTCAGGCTCGCTCACAACAAAGCACGTCAGCACGCAGAGGACGAACGCAAGAAAGGTGACTGAAGCACTCCTGGTAATAGCTCCTGACTCCAGATGAATAGGTGGTAGGTGAATGGGTTTGAATGGAAGTCAGGCACCGGATTGAAGAATGCAGTAAAATCCCCCGGGAGCGATGCACTGATTGAAAAGAGCTGCACGGATGTGCCTGGCTCCCGTGTGGCTCCTACTGTTTCTAAGGCCATGTTGCTGCTCTGCCCCTCTAGGAAGATCTTTTGGATTTAGGCTCTTGCTGGCAGGTAGTCTTTTCCGTGGCTTGGCAGCCAGCAGAGCTCACTTCCCGTCGCTCCGTTATGTTTGCCTGTGGTCTCTATAAGGGTATATTGAGGTTACAAAAGATTGTAGGTTGTTAACCAAATTGGATCCAGGAATATGAGAGTAGCATCCATGTGGCAGCCTGTTTCAGTCACAGACATGAACTTAACTCATCCTTTCTGCAGTGCAGGCATTTAGACAGGCAACAGGAAGACAGCTCTAGTGGCAAGGATAGTTAAACATTAGAATAGACTGCCTAGAGACGTTTTACAGGTTATTTATTTAAAAAGAAACTTCGTTATCTAATGATCTCTTCCCTTTTACCTCTATTTAAAGTGTGTCCTACAAAAAAACCTTTACTGTGAGCATTTTTCCTCCTAGTTTCTGCAATGCAGACCCAGGTGGAAAACCTGGCGATGCGTCTCTTCCACATGCAGAACATGGACGAGGATATGCACCATAATATTTTACTGATGAAGCAGTCAACAAAGAAGGCTGAAGCAGAGAAGGTCCAAGCTGAGGTGGAAAAGAAAAAACAGGTATCAAATTAATCTTTTTTTTTTGGCCAAACACATTTTATTTCCTGAATAAATGCTTTCCAATTTTATTATTTCCCAAATATTTGAAGCAAGGTTTTCTAAAATGAGAAAAGTATTTACTAGCAAGATAGGTGCACGTGCTGCACAGGGCTTTTGACAAACATTATAATCACTTTTCACGCTAGCAGAGCATGGGTGGGTGAGGGTCAGAAAGGACTTAGCTAGGCAGTACCGTACACTGAAGCCTCCGGAGCTATTCTGGCTCTCAGTGAGTTTCACAATGATGAAGTTGAAAAATGAGCTGCAATCTGTCAGTGAGTGCTGGAGCTCCCTCTGCTGGCTTCATGGCTTCTTTTTGCAGCAGAATAAATGTTCTATGAAAATTATTAATACACAAATCATACGCAAACAATTGCAAATGTTAAACAAAACATTTAAAACCATTAAACATTACTATTCCTGCGTCCAGAGAGGTGGCATAGTATAATCTATGCTGATAAAAATGAATGTTACTTCACATCTGAAATATTAATTTACTTAATAGAATAATAAAAATCGCTAAAGAAGGTCATATTCCTTTGAAAAATGTCACTGCTGCGATGAGGATAATTGTTCACCTTGATAAAGGTTTAGCAGGAACCAAGTCCAGCTGCTGATTTATTCTTGCTTCTAGTTTATATACTTCTCGTGCAGGATAGTCTTTTCCAGGCTAAGCTTGCAGGAAGCTTGTGCTCCTGCTGGACTCTTCACTCTGGCTTTGTAGGACCTTCTAGTGGAGCGCTTGACAAGAAAAGCCTATGAGCTACAGGAACAGGTAGCTCTGTTTGAAGCCCAGATTGCGGCCCAAGCAGAAGACACCAAAATAACTCGACAAGCAGTAAACGAGGTAAGAGTTGACTTTATTTTTCACTTCCAGTTAATATTACACTCTGGAGGGACTGGCCTCTTTGGTTTATGCTCACATGGTATCTACAGTGTAGACTAGTGTCCTATAGTTCATTCCTGATTACAGGAATTGGAACATTATAGCCAGTAACACGCAGAAATTAGATGTAGCCTGACAAGAGCCTAGCACAGCATAGATAATATTGCCATAACTCTATCATCGTACTGTCCCAGGGGCCCTAAGCTAATTATGATTTAAATGTGCACAGTCTTCTGTGTTTTAACATTATATCAATAACATGGTATTTGGGGGTGATATTTTTTTTGCCAGAAGACAGCAACATGAGTTGCTACCAAGACCAGAGACAAGATTTGGTTGGTTTCTTTGCTTCTTTCTCTCCTCCCTCCTCTAATTTTGACCAGAAAAGCCATGGAAAGCCAGTTTAGTTTAAGCTAGTTCTGCCTGGGGAGGGAGGTGGAAATTATGGCACTGTCTCTGGTTTCTAAGCCTGGCATAGATTGAGCCCATCTACAAGTTCTGTCTTCCCCAGGCGAACACGGAGGTACAGGCCATTAACATGGAGAAGAGGCGGTTGATAAACCACTGGAATGTTAGTTTGGCTGGAATGAGACAAAGAGATGAAGCCTACGCTGCCATGCAGGAGCTGCTGAGGTACAGTGTATAAGAGCAGGCTGAGAAAGACCTCAAGTGCCTTGGATGAGAGGGGTGCTAGAGCATCTCTGCTATCAGGTTTGTTACTGTATGTGCAGGACATGTCTGACTGAATAAATCTGCCACTGTGAAGCATACAGAAGGTTAAAGGGAGCGGACCTTGGGTCATTACTTTTCTCTTCAACTACAACAAAACCCTCCCTTAAAAATCTGATTTTTTGGAAAGCTGCTTAGGGTTATTCTGTGCATATTTTTTTTAATAATCCTTTCTACATCTGCAACATCTCTCAGATCTCTCAGTCCGAAAAGTAAGACACCAAGATGGATTTACCTATTATTTTTGATTAGGATTTTTGTGATGCACTCTGAAATCTTCAGGAAAATCTTACTAATGTTGCTAAAGGGACTTTAGCAACTTTGTGTTGTCACTGGTCTTTATAAAGATCTTCCTCCCCACTCATTTGTTCCTGCAATAGCTTTTTTGACAAAAGGAATTTGTACATGTTCACCACACAAATCAGCCCCTGTGATGATTTTCCATCCTCTTTGCCTCTGCAGCAAGTACAGACATGAGCTCAAGTCCCTAGAAATAGATATCCATGGCTGCAGAAAGTCCATCAGGAAGGAAGAGGAGAAGAACGAGATGCTCGCCACCATCCTGAGCCGTTCTCAGAATGACGCCAATATGATGAAGAAAATGATTGCCCAGTGCCTTTCGAAGCAGGAGGCCTTGCAGGTTGAAGCTGACACCTATTCCCGCATCCTCCATGAGACAGAGCAGGCCTTGAGTAGAGCAAACATGGTAAGAAAAGCCATTTGCAAGAGAATTCTGCTAATAGGACATAGCTGTTTAATCCCTGCCTCCAAACAGTGTTAGTAATCCTGTCTCTGTTCTTCGCCTCTTAGGATCAAGCTGCCCGTGTGAGTGAGTTGCTGTCCATCAGTAAGGATATAGAGAAAGGAACTGAAATGAAGGAGCAAATAGAGAATGAGATCATGGCAAAGCTTCAGGAGCAGATGAGGTCCAGCAAAGCAGCAAAGTACTTCTCCCAGCTGGCTGAAAAGCTTCGAAAGAGAAAAATGGATCTGGCAAGTTATCTTCTCTATTTGAGAGGGCTAGAAAGGAATGGGCTGTGATCCCAGCCTAGAGCAATGTTTCTCAGATTATTTATTGATGTATTTTCCTTCTTAGTCCTGGTTCTGTTCTTCAGCCCTGGAATTGAAAGCCCTTCTAGGTTTGTTACTCCTGTTAATTCCTCCAGTGGTATCATTCAGGAGACGTATGCAAGAGTGTGACCAGAAAGCTGTGGATATATAATACTTTCTTAAACAGTGGTGCAGAATGATGAATCCTGGGAGCATTTACTGGAAGCATTACAAGCTGTTGCTGGAGAAAGACAGTTGATGTGCAATAGCTCTGTACTCCGCCTTTAACTTATATCTCTATCTGCATCACTGAATGTGATGCAGGCATTCTCTCAGTTTCTAAATAGTGATTTCAATCCAAGGAACCATCAAAACAAACCCACAGCTCTTTATGGCATGATAAATTGCTCTCTTTAGGAGTGTATAACTGGTATAGGGAAAAAAAAAGAGAACATTCAGCATAGTATTTATCATATTGAGTTGTGTGGGCTGGTACAAACCCGTCAGGCTCACACCTCTGTATTTAACTTCAGCCTGCACAAGGTTGTGTAAAATAGGTGTGTATCTTCAGTGCCTGGGAGCCTGCCAGGGCTGGCTTTCCTGATGGGAAGGGCCCCCCTTTCCCACGGGCAAGTAGAGCAGCTTCTGCTTTTGCTTCTGTCAGTAGCAGAATGTGATGCAGAGACTAGTGACTTGGGAAAGATCGGTTTATCACCACTCAGGGTGGTACTTGTGTGCAAGTAGCAGGGTCTTACTAGTTATCTCGTTGTAGACATGCTGCACTCCAGCAATAAGCACATCAGTTCTCTGTGCCTGGGGAGGCAGCACAGTTAGGTCAGGGAGGCTTTTGCCACTGTGGCGTAGAACTTAATATGGACATGTGCTACCATCGTTAGCCAGGTAACCAGGACATCTAAGGAAGGTATTCCAGAAGTGAGGAGCACAATCTTCTACTGGATTGGGGCATACTTGGGTGCTTTGCAGCAGCCTTCTAGGAGAGGTAATCATTATTTATGTCAAAGGATGGAGAAACAAAGGTACAGAGAGGGTATGGAGCCTGCTTACAGTTTGTAGCACAGACCTGGGGGTAGAATCTAAATCCTCTGATCCTGCCTTTTGATACAAATCAATAGGCTGTTGTTAGTGACAATTTGTTTTCTGTCTGGTGATATTACTAGGATCTGCATTTTTCCAAAGTTGAGAATGATACAGCACAGATAATTCTGAATGCCACTCATACTAACTGCCAGCTGGAAGCTCTCCAGAAAACACTTTCTGATCTGGACAAGGAAATTAGAAATATCCACGACCTGATCAACCGTAGTGAAAGCGAGATTGCAAAGCGCAGTCTCCTGATCGAGAACAAGCAAGGGGTCATCAACCTGAACAACAAGAGGTTGGACATGCTTCTTTCCCAGCTTGGGGTATGTACTTTACACTTCAGTTCTGCTTTGAACTGTGGTGACCACAGATGTCACTGACAGAGGTAACTGTGCAGGTTTCAAACACGCGTAGCCTAAGCATTAACAACTGGCATTCAGTTCTTAATAAATGTAAAGAGAAGCTAATAACCAAATCACTGTTTGTAGAAGACCAGTTTCCTGCTGGTCTTCTACAATGATTCCACAAATAAGAGCTTCTGTCTGATTAATTCCAAATCTTAACCTCTTACAGGGGCAAGAGTTGGGACCACTGGAAATTGAGATTAATGGACTGACCAAGCAGATAGAAGAATGTAATTCAGAGGTGCTGACACTACAGAAGTACTGGCTTAAGCTGCAGAACGAGTTGGTCAGATTAACCCATGGACGGGAGGAACAGCTGGCATCCTTGGATCTGTTAAAGAAGCAGATCACAGTCATGCAGCAAAAGAAAGTGCGCACGGAAAGTAAGTCACCCCCTAAGTGTTGTGTGTAATGTCCATCAGTAAATGGAGAGAAAAAAGGCAGCAAGGCTTACAGACACGCAATGCTCAGACCTTTCACCCCAAGATTCCTCTATATGTGTGGGCAAGAATGCATATAGCTCCAGAAGCGTGATCTGGGGCTAAGAGCTGGGCACTTGCTGCTGTTGTGCTTGTCAGAATTCTGTCATGATCTGATCTTGTCTTTAACTTGCGCAGTTAAACCCTAAGTGATGGGCTCATGTGTTACCCTTAAAGTCTGCAAGTAGTTGGTAGGTGACAGCACATTGCTCAGCCAAATGCAGCTGTCTTGCACAGCAGACTATTTGCAGAATCTTTGTTTTATGGCTTGTGGAAGGGTGTTTTGGCAGGCTGCATGGGACACAGCTGGCTGTGTGTTGCCTTGTCTATTGGCAGTCTGTTGCTTTGGCTGTGCTCAGTCCAGCATTCAAGGGAATTTTAATCTTTCTTCTGTTCACCTGTAGATGAAATTCAGCAGGAAACAAAAGAACAGAAAGACATTGAACGTCACATGAGGAACATGTCAAACGATTTGATCAAGTTAAATATGTTGATCAACAAGAACAGCAACAGCTTTGAGGAGTTGCATTATGGCAACATTATCACAGAGAATGAGTTTGTACGGTCTCTCAAGGTACAGAGGCTTGGCTTCTCATCTCCCGGGCACAGCCTCCCATCCTGCAGTCTGGCAGGGCTTACAAGAGTGCAGCAGGTGGCCCAGAAAACAGCTTTGTGCTACAAATAATAGGAACAGAGAAAGATATTTCTATTGTAGTTATCTGTAGTTGTGCAGCCTGTATAGTTATGCACAGAAAGGGCACCCAAGTTTGTTTCTTGCTTAAGGATAGTGACTCTAATTGCAGAGAAGAAGCGAGTTAGGCCTACTGTTTGTGTGGGTTGAAAGGCTGGCAGCCAAAAAGGGCGTGACGAGCAGAGGCAAACAATGATCCTGTTAATTTTTCCCAGTCTGACAATACTGTTGGTTTTTGCTTCCCAAATCTAGGTAGCAGAGAAAGAATCAATTGAGATGCAGGAAAAACACAGTCAATTGGCTGAGGAGAAGGAAAGACTCCTGAACAGCTTGGTGGAAGCAGAGTAGGTATCAGAGAGATTCGTGCTTTGTGCCACAGTCTTTGAACTGTTCTATATTACCTCCCTTCTCCAATCACAGCAGCAAAGTTGCTTCTGCCCTTCCTGGAAAAGTTGAATATAGGTTAACAAATTTTTCAAACACAAAAACTGAAGACTCCTTGAGCAGCATTCTAATTTTTTAGGGCACAGTAACTTATTTTGTGGGATTATTTTCCATGCCCCTTCCTCTCTCCTATTAAACATCTAGAGTTTTGTGATTTCTTGTTTGATTCCTCTTCAGAGCAGCTGGCACCTCTGATTTTGGAACCTGCAAGAGCTGAGGAGATGTTGGCTTTAAGGATTCCAGCCTATTTATCTGTGCTGGATGTTGCCAAAAACTGTAGAGCTGTGCATGGCATCTCCCCTGCCATTAACTGAGAGCAACAGTTAATTTTGTTACCCAGGACTGTGCTGTTACCCAGGACTTAATTAATTGGGGGCTGTCGAGCCCTTGTCTCTCTGAGCTTGCTTGTTTTTACTTTCTCCATGCACTTTCTACATGGCTGAGCTTCCTGCCTGACTTCACGCTGGGGATGTTGCTGCTTTATGATAAGTCTCACATGCAGATCTTAAGATTCTGCCAAACTATTCAGCTTTGTGTTGAGAATCCGCTTTGGAGAGCGGTGCCACCGCTGAGCAACTTGCGCATCACCCTGTTGTTTACAAAGGTGCTCGTTTTCCTTTCTGTTGTTGAAGGCACCAGATCATGCTGTGGGAGAAAAAGATCCAGCTGGCCAAGGAGATGCGGTCAGCAGTGGATTCCGAGACAGGACAAGGCGAAATCCGAGCCATGAAAATGGAGATTCATAGGATGCAAGTAAGCTCTTAGGAAGAGGACAGAAGAGGAAGGGTTGCATGCAATTTATTCAACCTCAGAGGAATTGCAGAAATATATATCAGGGAAAACCAAAATGAAAAAAACAAACAGGCTTTAGAAATAGCATATTTAAAGCTGTAGCAGTGTCAGGGAAATCTCATCACCCTGCAGCTAAATTGAATTAAATATGTTCAGCATGAATGCACTTTATGCAATCCTTGCACTAACTGCATAATAGACTGCAGCAAAACTCAGACATATCCTAGAGAATTTTCTTTGAAATATGTCTATTACCTGATTCCGTGAGTCCAATTTATGCGCAGAGAAATATTGACTATTGAACACCACATCATGTTAATCACTAATTAGAGGCCATCTATCTTCTGGCAGAGAAAATCTTTCCTTTCATTCTCAAGATCCTTCTGCTTTTTGGCTTCTGCTATTGCAGATGAGCTCCAGTGAACACTTTTGAAGATGACTTTAGACAAATTGCACACAGAGTTGGTAACTAACTGAGCTCTCTGCCCTCCAGATCACACTGTGAAAAACTAGATTGCAATGTGAAACAAAGTTGTCTTACTGAGGCTCATGTGTCACATAAACCTGGTTTATGTTGATAGGATGTGCTGTATGAAAGAATTTAATTAGGTGCCTTTTGCAACCATTTGATATTTTCAGCCTTCTTTAATATCTTGACAAATGGCAGGTCCGTTATGGCCAGCTGATGAAGCAGCAGGAGAAAATGATTCGTGATATGGAGGCATCTGTCTCTCGTAGAGAGACTATAGCAATCCGTGGAGAAGGTCAAAACAAGATGGATAAGAAGCATATCACCAGGAGCGACTTCCACCGCAAGAAACAGGAGCTGCGAAAGCAGATCAGTGAAACCCAGAAGGTGAGCGAGTCAAGCGTGGGCGCAGGCATTCACTTTAGGCCGTGTTTGCCTTGTAATTAGGAAAATGGGTTCATTGCATCATGAGCTGCTCTTGGGGTATGCAAGGAAGAGGTGGTGCCCTGTTTACCTGAGCCAATATTTCCCCCTGGTGGCATCAAAAGTGCTAAGGACATGGCTGCATGGAGCTAGTTCTTACTGTAAGACCTATGTATGCCCCTGGATCTGCTGGGGTCCTGCATGTAGCTTTGCGAATCCTACCAGATCAGCTCTCGCTGTAAAACCCAGCACAACAGGGCTGCTTGACACTGACATGCTGGTGGTCAATACACAGAACCTGCACCTCTGCAGGTTTAGCCTTGCATAGTGAGCACAGTCTTTAGTAACTCATTTATTAAAAATAAGAAAGAGAAGAAAATAGAAAGGTCTCAGAAGAGATCTGGAGATGCAGCTGAGCTAAAGCAGCAGAACCTGACACTTCCTTCTCTTCCCATTACCAGAACGCTCAAGACTGCAGTAAAACGGTGCTGGAGCTGGAGAGTGCCGAGGCATCCCTTAATGCCACATGCATGAAAAAGCAGCAGGAAGTTTGCACGCTGCAGGCCGAGTCTGATGGCCTCGACTTAGACATAGAATGTCTTCAGGAGAGGAAACGATGGGTGCGTAGGCCGTTCCCTTAGAGCACAGAAGCAAATAGCACCTGCTGCTTTCTTCTGTGGCTGGATCCCCTGTTCTCCTTGTCTCATTACCACACAGAGCTGGGCGTGCTTGGAATATAATTTTAGCAACACATTAGGCTTTTTTTTTTCCAAGAACTGATGGCAATTTGAGTGTTCAGCCCAAACAGAACTGCTGCATAGCTTAATAATAAAGAATATTAGTAGATACTTAGATTAAATTTAGTCTATAAATAGTTCACAGGAGAACTTCAGGCAAATTAACATTGGCTGCCTTTGCAGAGTTCATGCTTTGGTGCGTGAATGATGAACTGACAGCAAATTTATCTGAATGTTCATTTTTTCCCCCACGCACATTTCCAACATTTTTCTTGAGACTCTGTGTTTAACATTCAAGGCCTTTGCTCTCTAAAGGTCCCAAAAGCCTGGGCACTTGAAACATTTTAAAGGCTCATACTGACCTTGAATTGATGTCTCCCGGAATGTGGGAATGGCAGCATTCAGCTGGAAACATCTGCCTGAAAGATATGGCTTGTACCTCTGAAAATGTCAGGTGACACTTATCTCTCTTGGAGGCCACCTGGCCACTGTGAAGACATTGCAAACTGGAGAGCCAGTTCGAGTTTGGAATGACCTCCTATGAAAGTTTAAGGTGGTAAAACTCTCTCCTGGCAAGGTTTGTCTTCTATGTGGTACTACTCTGATTTATAGATTTCTGTGTGTGACTGTGTATCTGTAACACTCAAACTGGGCTGCTGTTTGGCTGTTACAATGAGACTTCATAAAACTGTCCCTCTAAAGAACCCATTCCATTTCAAAATACGATGATTACAGTGGCTTCATGACACAAATCATACTCGGTTTTCCTATGGTGCCTTTCTCCATGCAGGCTATTGCCAAAGCAATTTCTGGTTTTGCTTCTTTTAGAATCTTTTGGAGATTGTGGCCTATCAAACACGCCAGAAGCACCTGCAGGCCCTAAAGGACGGGAAATACACTCTCCTGTGCCGCACTGAAGAAGCCTGGAGAAATGAGCAGCAGAAATGGCAGGACCGGCTTCTCACCGTTAATGTCATAGTGCAGCAGATCCAGAAAGAGCATCCTCAGCACCAGAGGACTCTGCAGTGGCTCAGTCAGCGCTTGGAGTCCAGGCTGGGGCCACAGGAAGCCTAGCAGACAGTAGGAGGCAGATTGGAATAAAATATCTGTTAAAATTCTTCAATTCAGTGTAACTCAGCCTCTCTTGCTCTCCCAGCTGTTGCAGGATTTGTAAGTAATATATGTATTTAAATGAACAGCGCGCACATCTTCCCTAAAGACGTCCAAGGGGAGGGATTTCTTCTTATCTGGCTTCTCCCTGTGCTTGGGGCTTGCGCCAAGGCCGGCTCGGGCCGCGCGCGGCGGCGTCACGTGCTGCCGCTTGCACCCGCTGGGAGGCCGCGGGCCATGGCGGCACTGCGGGCCCCGGCGCTGCTGCGGGCCCCGGTGCCACCGCGGGCCCCGGTGCTGCTGCTGGCGCTGGTGGCCGCCGCCGCCCGCGTCCCCGAGCGCTGCGAGGTGCCCCCGGGCGACCGCTTCGACTGCGGCGCCGAGCGGCCGCTGGCGCGGGCCGGCTGCGAGGCGCGCGGCTGCTGCTACATGCCCGGCGGCCCGCGCGGTGCCGGCCCGCCCTGGTGCTTCTTCCCCCGCGGCTACCGCAGCTACCGCGCCGAGAACCTCACGGCCACGGACGCAGGCTACACGGCCCTGCTGCGCCGCTGCGCCGCCGGCTTCCTGCCCGGGGACGTGGGCACCCTGCGGCTCGACGTGGCGCTTGAGACCCGCGCCCGCCTGCGCTTCACGGTGCGTCCCGGACCCCCGTGGCGCTCCCGGCGCTCCGGGCCGGCCTGACGCCGCTCTCCCCGGCAGCTCCGCGACCCAGCCAGCCGGCGCTACGAGGTGCCGCTGGAGACGCCGCGCGCGGGCGCCCGGGCCCCCGGCGCGCTCTACGGGCTGCAGTTCAGCCAGGATCCCTTCGGCATCGTCGTCTACCGGGAGGCCACGGGGACGGTGCTGTAAGTGCCCTGCCGTGCGGCGCTCCCTCCGGCCCCTTGCTGAGAGCTCCCCTTCCCGGAGCTTCCCCGGTGCCCCTCTGCGTGCTGCCCAGCTCCGTGGGCTGCTCTGAGCTTGCCGTGCCCTGCAGGAAAGGGCCAGCATGAGCCACCCTCCTCTTCCTCACTGCTGCGCCTTGGGGAAGCTGCTCCCGGGGGGGGTTGTCTGGAATGGGGACCTGCTGCACTCGGCTGCTGCGAGGTTCTGACTTTGCTCTTGCCTAAAACCACAACCCAGCGTTTCAGCGCCTCGCTGAGGAGGCAGGAGGGTCACCGGAGCTCGGCTCGGGCTTGTTTTCCGTGCTGTGACTCAGGCACCTGGGCTGGGTCCTTCCTGGGGCTGGGGTTGTGCTGCGCTGCCCTCCCCGCCGCCCTCGGCGCTGCCCAGGCTCTGTGCTGGGAGCCCCGTTTCCTTCGGCAGGTTGAACACCTCCGTGGCACCCCTGCTCTTCGCAGACCAGTTCCTGCAGATCTCCACCTCTTTGCCGTCTCGTTTCATTGCTGGCCTGGGAGAACATCTGACTTCCCTCATGCTTGACACGTCGTGGACCAAAATCACCCTGTGGAATCGGGACATGGCACCCACGGTAAGCAGCGAGGCAGAGAAAAGGGGAAATGACCAGACTTGCAGGAGGGGCCCGGACTTCCTTTCTGTTTCTTTACTTCCTTTTGGTTGAAGGTTGAGAAAACACACGCACACATTTATAAAGCCGAGGGACCTGTCCTTGTGTAGAGCCAGGCAGCACCGGTGGCCGCCAGCCCTGCCCAGGGCAGGTCTCTGGGAGCACCAGCCCAAGACTTGGGGACCCGCCTTGGCTCGCGCTGTGCTGCTCGGGAGCTGCTCCCTCCCGGTGTGAGGGGACCTGGGCCAGCAGTCCGGGCTTTTGGGGTAGAGCTCCGCTGATTCCAGCAGCGTCGGGACAGGGAAGCCTAGCTTTGCTTCCAGCAGCGTGCTGGGGCTGGCCCATGCGTGGGTGCTGCGCCGCTGCTGCGAGCGTTGCTGGCACCGTGCTCTGCTCCAGCCCCAGGTCAACCTCTACGGCTCCCACCCCTTCTACCTGGCGATGGAGGAGGGCGGCCTGGCCCACGGGGTCTTTCTGCTGAACAGCAATGCCATGGGTGAGTCCTGCACAAGCTGCAGGGCCGGGAGGACGGCCCGAGTCTCCCCTCTCACCCTGCTGTTCCGGGGCTGCTGCTTCCCCGCAGACGTGGTGCTGCAGCCCAGTCCAGCCCTGACCTGGCGAACCACGGGTGGGATTCTGGATTTCTACGTCTTCCTGGGCCCGGACCCCAAGAGCGTTGTGCGGCAGTACCTGGACGTTGTCGGTAGGTGCCAGGACCTGCTGGGAAGCAGCGTTCCCAGCTCCGCTTTGCCCTGCAGGCAGGTGCTGCTGGCAGTACCTGTCCTCTGATGGCCCTTCAAGGTGGAAGGCTCTGCAGGTCGCTTCAGACCAACTGCCTATGTCTTAATCACAGCGCCCGGTGGGGCTGGGAGGAAAGCAAATGTTGTCCCTGTCCCCAACTCCCCTGTGTCCCCTTCCTCCTGCTGTAGGAAGGGAGGTGTCTGTGCCCCTGTGCAGAGGGGCTGCGGGGCGACTCTGATGCTTTGTGGTCTCTCTGCTGGTTCTGCTAACCCTCTCCCTCCTGATTTGCAGGGTACCCCTTCATGCCCCCGTACTGGGGCCTGGGATTCCACCTCTGCCGCTGGGGCTACTCCTCCACTGCCGTGACCCGCGAGGTTGTGCTCAACATGACGGCAGCCCGCTTCCCCTTGGTAGGTCTTGATGGCCAGCTGTGGTCATCAGCTGCTGATGAGCAGTCGTGATGAGCAGCTGTGGAGCCAGTGAAGTCTCTCCCCTGCACGAGTGGAGGCTGCTGTGGCTGTGTCCATGCTGCACATCGCGGGGTAGAGCTGCGTCAGGCCGGCCCGGCCCTCCGGGACACGGCAGCCTTGGTGTCCGCAGGACGTGCAGTGGAACGACTTGGATTACATGGATGCCAAGAGAGACTTCACCTTCAACAAGAAAACCTTCAAGGACTATCCAGACATGGTGCGGGACTTTCACCAGAGCGGCCTGAGGTACATCATGATTGTGGTGAGTGACTGCCCAGGCTTCACCTCATTCCCCATCACAGAGGGCTCTGACCTGTTGCACAAAGGGCTGCAAACCAGAGCTGTGGGGAGGCAGGATTTGGCTGTGGCCTCTTGGTCTGGCTCCCTAGCAGCCTGCCACATCCTTGAGGGAGTAAATGTTGCCTGAGAACAACAGCAGAGTTTCCTGGGTGGATCAAATATAGTTCCAGGTGTCCCTGCTGTCCCAGCCCCTTCCTTTCCTGCTGGCTGGGGCTGGAGGCCAGGGTCACTTTTTGTTTACTGGAAGCTGCTGCCTTCCCTGAGGTGTCTCGTGAGGTTTGGCAATAGCTGCCTCTGGCCTCGTCACAGCCCAGGTTTAAAGGCAGGATTAGCAGCCACAGACTGGGGCCGGGAGGCTGCGGGAAGCAGTTCAGGAGTTTGAATTGCTTCATGCCCTGGGAGTCTAGAACACCACTGATGGGGTGTTTGCCTGTCAGCTGTGTGTCACCTGCATCCTCAGCTTCTCCCTTAGACTCTAACAGGAATAAAAAATGTAACCCCCCTTTTTTAGCAGCTGCTGTGCCAGTGTGTGCTGTTTCCTCAGGCTCGTTGTGCTTTGCTCGCCAGAGTTTTGATGAATTTCTTGCAGAAATTATTGGCTGGATGCGGCCCTGCACATTAGTGCTGGAAGAGTGGACTGAAGTTCAGCTGAGAGCCTTGTATTTCTTTCAGGTGTTTGGAGTAGAAGAAGTTGTTCCCTGTTCGCTGGTAAAGTCACTATTTTGTGCCCTGTTAGGATCCAGGGATCAGCAGCTCTGGGCCTCCTGGCACCTACAAACCCTATGATGATGGGCTGAAGCGGGGCATATTCATCCGGAATGCCACTGGGCAGCCCCTCATCGGGAAGGTACGTGCTGGGATCTAAGGAAGCTTGAGGAAAAGTGGCTTTATTCTCCTGGTTCTTCAGCAGCCATGAGATGGAGCTGGGGAGCTGCTGAGCACTGCAGCTATGAGTGATGGGGAAGAGCCCCCAGAGACAGCGGAGGGAGAGAAGAGATGGTTTAGACGCGGGCAGGTGGGATGCAGTGGGGATGGAGATGGCAGAGCTCTGCCCACTGTCCGCTCCTTCCTGCTCCAGGTGTGGCCGGGCCCAACAGCCTTCCCGGACTTTACCAACCCAGAGACACACGAGTGGTGGTACGACATGCTGAAGGAGTTCCATGACCAAGTGCCTTTTGATGGCATGTGGATTGTAAGTGAAAGAGGGGCCTTTCGCCTCACCGGGGTCCAGGGGATGCCAGGAGCCCTGGCAGAGCTGCTGGGTGCCCTTCCCTGTCTTATTCCCGATGCATCTTCTATGTCCCAGTCCAGAAACAAAACATCTCTTCTCCTCCCAGGACATGAATGAGCCATCAAACTTCGTGGAGGGCTCGCAGGAGGGCTGCCCGAGCAACAACCTGGAGAACCCACCCTATGTTCCAGGTGAGGAGAGCAGCTCCTAGCCCTTGTATGGGGAGAGGAGCACCAGGAGGAGCAGGGGGTGAAGCTGTCTGGTGCCAGCGCATGCAGGAGCCCAGGGGCTGTGCCAGGCCTGGCTGCCGAGGAGGGCAGCTCTGACTCTGAACCCATCGCAGCAGAGGCTGGTCCTTGCAGGTTGTTCTCCTGAGCTCACTCTCACCATCTTCTCTTCCATGCAGGTGTGTTTGGGGGACGCCTTCAAGCTGGAACCATTTGTGCCTCTAGCCAGCAGTACCTGTCCTCTCATTACAACCTCCACAGTCTGTATGGGCTGACAGAGGCCATCGCTTCCCACAAGTAAGTCTGAGACTCTTGTTGCAGCCTCCGTCAGGGCAAGTGCCCCCTCCTACAGAAGCCTGGCTCTTCTGGTCCCAGGATCCTTAAGGAGCTGGCACCCATCTCTTCATCCTGAATAATTCTGGGGAGAGGAAGGGATGCTGACAAGGTCTGGTTGGGTGACAGACATGTCCCTGCATTGCTGCATGGGCTCTTTGTGGTGGTGCTGGGAAGGGCATGCGAGTTGCTCAGCTTCCCGGGTGAAAGGCAGCAGTGGTGACTCCCATTCCCCATGGTGGGAGGTCACGTGTATGGGCTCTGTGCCAGCCTTGGTAGGCGCCAGCTCCGCGCTGCCACGAGTCACCGTGGCGGGACGGCCCGCGGGGCCTTTGCTGCAGCCAGGGACTGACCTGGACGGTCCCCGCAGTGCCCTGGTGAGGATCCGGGGGAAGCGCCCCTTCGTCATCTCACGCTCCACGTTCGCCGGCCACGGCCGCTATGCTGGCCACTGGACAGGGGATGTCAGGAGCGACTGGGAGCAGCTCTACTACTCCGTGCCAGGTAGGCGCTGCTGGGGCTGCATCGCTCTGCGCTTCCCTCCCGCAGGGAACTGCACCTTCCCAGAAGCGGGGAGACCTCCCCACGGTGTCTCTGGGAGCCAGCTCCGAGTGCAGCAGCCCCTGCAGCCTGCACTGCCACGTGATGGGCTCTGTTCCCACCTGCTTCCCATGGGCTTGACACCTGCAGGGGCTTCTGCTGGGGGAGATGCCCCTTCTGGTCTGTCCAACCTGTGCCAGCGTTGCCAGGGTCCCCGCTAGGCCGCTGGGTCAGTACCCATGTGCCCCAGTTCCCTGGGGAGGGACCGTCCCACGCTCTGATGCGCTCTGGAGCCTGGCAGCGTGTTCCTGTGCCCCAAACACTGCATGGCCCTGATCCCATCTGCGTCCCTCCGCAGAGGTGCTGCTCTTCAATCTCTTCGGGGTGCCCCTGGTCGGGGCGGACATCTGTGGCTTTGCGAGCGACACGACAGAGGAGCTGTGCGTGCGCTGGACCCAGCTGGGCGCCTTCTACCCCTTCATGAGGAACCACAACGACCACGGCAACCGGGTGAGCGTGGCGGCACCGGCCGCAGGGGTGCAGCTCGGCTCCTGGGGTGCAGCTGGAGTCCGGGTCACGTCCTGCAAGAGACGCTTCAGCAGCCTGCGCGCTGAGCCCGGCCTCTCCCCTGCAGCCTCAGGAGCCGTTCGCGTTCAGCCCGGCCGCCCAGGACGCCATGCGGAGGGCCCTCTCCCTCCGCTACTCCCTGCTCCCCTACCTCTACACGCTCTTCCACAAAGCGCATTCCGCCGGCGAGACGGTGGCGCGGCCCCTCTTCCTCGAGTGAGTGCCCAGCAGGGCCCCGGAGCAAGGGGGAGTCTCTGGGGGTGCGGGATGGGGCAGGCTGTCCACACGTGCATCCTCTGCGGGCTCTGCTGGCTGCGAGTGGCTGGGAAATGCCCTGGCGCCACAACCCTGCTTTGTGCCTCCGCGTCCAGGTTCCCAGGGGACCCCAACACCTGGGCTGTGGACCGCCAGCTGCTGTGGGGCGCGGGGCTCCTCGTCACCCCGGTGCTCGAGGCAGGAAGGACCAAAGTCAGCGGCTACTTCCCGGCAGGAACGTGGTACAGCTTAGCGGGGGTAGGTGTTGGTGTCGCGGGGCTCGCGCCGAGCCGGCGCTCCAGACCTGCAGTGCCATCCGTCCACACGTTCCTCCATCAGGCCCCTCGTGTGGCCGGGTTCTCCCAAGGCTTTAGTCATTTAGGGCTTTGGCCTTTGTGGGGCTTCGCTCCTGGGAGTTTGGGAGCTGTGATCTGCTCTGGTTTAGGTCTTTCTCAGACATGCTGGCCCTCCAGATATGTTCTTTCCTCTTTCTGTTGCGCTTTAGGACTCAACCATCCACAGCAAAGGCCAGTGGATCCTCTTATCAGCTCCCCTGGACACAATTAACGTGCATGTCCGGGCAGGACACATCCTGCCTCTGCAGGTGAGTTCCCGCTATCAAAGTGAAGCCAAACCCATTGCCAAACAAACTGCAGGCCTTCACTTGCCAACCGGGGTTGGGGTAAAAAGAGGTGTCCCTGCCGGCATCCTGAGCTCTGCAAGTGATTTCGTGCTGCGTGTTGTCTGCACCTTTGTCTGCAAGCGCAGGAGCCTGCGTTCAGAACCGCCGAGTCCCGCAAGAAGGGCATCACGTTGATCGTGGCGCTGACCACGGAGGGCTTTGCCAGGGGGGACCTGTTCTGGGACGACGGGGAGAGCTTGCAGACCTTCGAGAGCGGGGACTACACTCAGCTGCTCTTCGTGGCCACGCACGTGAGCGGACAGGGGGGTCAGGGGGCTCCTGATGGGCCACTGGATGCCAGCGAGGGGGTGCGGGAGCCCCTGCGCCCAGCCCTGCCCCGGGGGGAGCCAGGCCAGCCCCCCGGCACCCTCCTAGCGTCACAGAATTATGTAATTATTGTGCTCGGAGAGCTCTGAGCTCCCCCAGCCCAGCTGTAAGCCCCTCTACACCGTCCTGCTAAGCCATGGCCTGCGCTCTGGGGCCAGGCTGCAGGCGCAGCAAAGCAGCCATGTCCATTGAGGGGGGACCAGTGCACCTCTCCCTGCCGATTCCACCTCCTCTGGGGACTGTGGAGTGGCTCGGACACGCGGCCGGGCGCGTGAGGGTGGCAGGGAACCCCACGGCCCCAGAGCAGCGGCTGCTCGTGAGCCCCTTTGCGGCCGCAGGGCGCCCTGCTCAGCGAGCTGCTGCGGACGAGCAGCCAGGCGGACGGGCTGCTGCTGAAGGCCGTGACCGTGCTGGGCGTCACCAGTGCCCCCCGGCGAGTCCTGGCCAACGGCGCCCTCGTGGGTGACTTCTCCTACCGCAGCGACACCCAGGCAAGTCCGTTGGAAGGGGAGGCTTCGCGGGGCTGCCCAGCGGGAGCCCGGATCCACAGTGCTGGTCAGACCAGCCCGGAGGCGGCGGCAGCGGGAAGGGGCTGCCCCGGGAAGGTGCCGGCCCCACGAGCCCTGCACTTCTCGCTCATGCTCCTTCTCGTCTCCTCAGGTGCTGACGGTCCCCGTGTCGCTGCCCATGTGGGAGCAGTTTGTGATCACTTGGTCCTGAGACTGGCAGCCCTGCAGCGCGGCTCCGTGCGTGCCATGGCAGCACGGGGGAGCCTCGACGCTCAATCCAGCCTCTTCTTTCTCAAAGCAGGGCTGGACGCCCTCCGCCCACAAAGCCTGGCTCTCGTCCTCGAGTCTGGCTGTGTTTCTTGCTAATATGAGTTAGATTTGAAGCGCCTCGTCTCTTCACCTGATGTGCATCAGGGCTTGCAGAACCCCAGGGGCTGGGGAAACCTGATTCCTTCCAAAGGGGAAGGAAACAAGTGCCTGCTGAGACAAGAAACCTGTTGATGTGCCTAAGTCATTAACCTGGCAAGGGACTCCAGGGCATCTCCCGGCAGTGTCTTGGATAGGGGTGAGAGGCTGGGCCCCTTGTGCAGTCTGGTCTTGCACGGTTAGTGCCTGACCGAGACCGGAGCAGCCGGGAAGAGTTGGGAGCTGCCGGGACCAGCATGGGCTGGGGCTCCCTGCAGCGTTTCCCTTGCCGCTGTAGCCGGGGCGGAGACGGGAGCATCTACCTGCACGTGGCTGTTTGTGGCGGTGGAAATACTGTGAATAAAGACTCGGTCTGCCTGGGACTGCGTTTGCTCTGAGCGCCGTTGGGCTTCCTGCAGGCTGCAGAGGGATGCGTTTTTCTCGCCAGTTTGGACCACAACCTGGAGCTGCAGTTTTAGGAGCTCTGCTCTTCCCTCCTGTCCGGACACCCTGGACAGCAGTGCCAATGCCGACCGCAGCCTCAGCCCCCTTCCCGCAGCGTTGCTGTCCGCCCTGGGCTCCGCGGAGCTGGCAGGGGACGGTGGCTGTGGAACCTGTGTGAGTGCTGGCCCCATTCACCCCTCACGCAGGGAGCAGGAGCGGCCCGGAGGCGCCGCGGGATGCATGCGGGAGCTGCGGGATGCACGCAGGGCACTGCTACCTGGCACCTGCTCGGAGCTGGAGGGTTTGGGATGTATCGGCCACTCCGTGTGGTGCCAAGGGCGGCTCCGGAAGCGCGCAGGGTGCCTGCAGCTCCCCAGGGTGCTTCCCTGGCGCCGGGAGCAGCGCGGGGTGCACAATGCAGAGCGCGGGCAGGGCTGCGCTGGCATCGCGCCGGGGCGCTCGGCTCCCGACGGAGCCTCAGGTGAGTCCTGCAGTTCAAAGGTTTCTATAACCGACTTCCTTGTAGGCTCCCCTCCTCCCGGACTCGCGCTGCGGGGCAGATGTAGGAGCTGCTGGCGGGGCCTTGGTGGGAGCCGCGGGGACCCTGCGGCACCGACCCCGCTCCGCAGGCCGGCGAGCAGCGATGGCCGCGGGAGGAGAAGCTGCGGGCCAGCCCGGCCTCACCGAGGCCTCTGCAGCCTCGCAGGTGCCCGAGGGGCTCCTCTGCGCACAAGGGGCATGGCCAGCCAGGAGGGGCGGCGTGGGGCCACGTCCCCCCGGCATGCGATGGGAACAGGGCGCGAGGAGCGGGGCCACGGCTTTCCTTGCAGCTCTCGGGGACGTTCCTGGGCTCTGGCTCTCACAGCAGCCAGGGTCCCTTTCCGCTCCTCCTCGCCCCGCTAGGCGCCCGCGACGTCGCCGTGCCAGGCACAGGAGCTGCGGGAGCTGGACGAGCAGCGGCTCTGGGAGCTGCTCGAGGAGCATCGCTACCGCATCGTGCGCAGCACCTTCCCCAACCGCCTCACCCCCTACCTGCGCCAGGCCAAGGTGCTGGACCAGCTGGACGAGGAGGAGATTCTGCACAGCCCCCAGTTCACCAACCGCGCCATGAAAGTGGGTGAGTGGGGGACGCGGCGCTGCCACCCGCTCCCTGCGCTGCTCCCGCCTCCGGGAGCTCTCGGCACCGCTGCCTCCGCTGGGAAGCACCCGGGTTCGATGCACCCAAGGGCTGCTGGAGGAATCTGCCCCGCTCAGCCCCCAGGGACCCTGCAGCTCCTCTGTGCACAGCTGAGCTGAGGGGATGAGGCCAAGTGGGTGGGATTGCCCCTTCCTGGGATGCGTGTCCCGACCGTGGGGTCCCGGCTGTTGGTGCTTCGTGTCCCTCTCGGCTCTAGGTCACATGCTGGATCTCCTGAAGAGCCGTGGCAAGAACGGGGCTCTGGCTTTCCTGGAGAGCCTGAAATTTCACAACCCGGATACCTACACGCTGATCACCGGCCTGGAGGCCTCCACTGACCTCCACCGCTTCAGTGGTGAGAGCCGGAGCCCGCGGGACGCGGCAGGAGCCGAGGCAGCCGGAACGCGTCCGCTGGGGAGCACGGTCGCGAGCGGAGCCCTCCTCGCCAGGCCTCCTGGAGAGCTCCAGGCTGACGGAGTGCCTGGCCAGGGCCGTGAGCAGCCTGCAGGAGGAGCTGGCGCAGGAGAAGAGGCAGTGCGTGGCCCTGGCGCGGCACTGCGGCCAGCTCAAGGAGAGCGTCACCCAGCTGGAGGCCCAGAACGGGAGCTTGGCGGGGGTGCAGGCCGACTACGACCGCATGAAGAGGGAGGCCAGCACCCACTTTCACGAGGGGCTGAAGCTGAAGGACGAGCTGTACAACCTCTCCATGCGCTACAGCAATGCCCTGAAGGAGAAGGACTTGGCCATCACGCGGTGCCAGGCGCTGCAGGAGGAGGTAGCTGGTGCCCCGCAGCCCTGGGCGCTCCCCGACCCCGGGCAGGGTGCGGGCACTGCAAACTGCCCCGGCCGGGACTCCCTTCTCTCCCTGCCCTGTGCCCAGCTCCGCAGCCTGGCTGCCCCCAGGGCTGGAGCTTCTCCCGGCCAGGGGCCTCGCAGAGCGCTGCTGGCCCCGCGGACACGAAACGGGGGACAGCAGCTGTCCCCAGCCCGGGCACGAGGGCAATTTGGAGGGCTCTGCAGAGCCCCGTGCCGCTGAGCCCAGCCGGGAATGCCGAGTGTGAGCAGCACCGCGGGGAAGCCCAAGGGAATGGGTCGAAACCGCCGGCTCTACACAGGCTTTTCTCCCACTGTTGGTTTATGGGAGTGGAGAGGAGGTGACCAGCTGGGGAAAGGCTGAGGGCCCGTCTGGGGCCCCGTGCGAGCGGCTGCACCCAGGGAACATGGAGAGCACCCGCGGCCCCGGGCGGACGCGCAGCGCGGGGTCGATGCTGACGCCCGGCCGGCCCCACAGCTCTACCTGGCGAGGCAGGAGCTGCAGCGAGCCAGGGCGGAGCGGGGCTGCGAGGAGGAGAGGGCCCGGAGCGGCGCCGAACACCCGCGGGCGGGCGAGCTGCTGACGCTCGGGGAGGAAAAGGAGAAGCTGCGATCGCCGATGGAGCTGGAGACCTTCAGCCTGGTGCGTGGGACACCCCTGCCCTGGTCCCGCACCGGGAAGCGCACGGGCAGGCTCCGAGCCCTGCGCTGCGCAGGCAGAGAAGGATATCCTGGAGCAGCACCTGGACGAGGCTCTGGAGGACAAGCAGCAGCTCCTGGAGCGCATCCATTCCCTGCGGGAGAGGGCGGCCGCGGCCGAGCAGCAGCACAAGCAGGTGGGTCTGGAGGGGCCGGCGGCGGGCGCAGCCCCACTGGGGGGTAAGGGTGGTCATCCCCGGCTCCCTGCAGTGCTGCGATGAGAGGGAGCGCGCGCTCATGGAGTGCCGCAAGGCCAGGCTGGACGGCGAGATCTGCAGGGAGAAGATCTGCTCTTTGCAGGCACAGGTGGCCGAGCTGCAGAAGGAGCGAGACCAGGTAACAGGGGCCAGGGCGCCGGCCCCGGCCTTGCCGCAGCTCTGCCCTTCCCGTGCTGCCCGTGCCCGGCTCTTCCCGGCAGGCGTACAGCGCGCGGGATGCGGCCCAGCTCGAGATCTCCCAGAACCTGCTGGAAAAGGACTCGCTGCGCAGGAAGGTGTTCGAGCTCACGGACGAGGTCTGCGAGCTGAGGCAGCAGGTGAGAGCGCGGGCGCCACGGAGCCGAGGCCGCGGGGCTGGGATGTCTCCCGGGACATTCTGCCCGGCGCCAGCCTCAGCTCTCTGCAAAGGGCCCCGCAGGCGGCACCCGTGGGTGCCAGAGCTGCGGCTCCCGCTCTCTGCTCGCCTGGCAGGTGAGAGGGGCCGCGGGGGCGCCCGCCGAGGCCGGCGCGCAGGCCCGGAGGAGGAAGCAGCGGCTCGTGCGCATGCATGCGCTGTGCCCAGGCGACGAGAGCCGCCGCAGCGCTGCAGAGGTGGGTGCTGCGGCCCGGCCATGCCCTGCCCTGCAAAGGGATGAGGAGCTGGCGCGGGGACCGCAGGGCTCCCCGGCTGCGTGACGCCGCTTTGCGGAGGGGAAGGTTCATTGCGACTCCCCCCTGGGCAGCTCTGGTGCGATCTGGGCACAAAGCAGAGCCGCGACTCGGTGGAGAGCGGCCACTCGGGCAGCCCCATCCCGCCCGGCACCAGCTCCCTGGAGAGCCTCCCCTCCCGGAGGTAACTGCGCCGGCCCCGCTGCCGCCAGCCCGGCTGGGGACCCTCGCGCTGCCCCCGTCCCGGCCCACGAGAAGCGGAGCAGGGCCGGGCCAGAAGCCACAGAGCTGCCCAGGGGTCCCTCAGCCGCCTGTGCTGGGGCTGGCCTCGCTCCCGAGGCAACGACGAGGCCTCGGGCAGCGTTTTCCTGCTCCATCCACGCTCAGCCCATTCGTCATTTTGCAGCAGCAGCTCCCAGAGCTTCCTGGAGGCGGACGGGGGTCTGGGCTCAGAGGAGGTGGAAGAAGCCGCACTGGAGTCTGCCACGTGTGACAAGGACGGTGGGTGTCTCGGGGCCTGCTGGCACAGCCTGGCACTTGCCCCATCTTCAGTTTGCCCCAGTCCGTCCCTGCAGCAGGGGCACCCGCTGTGCTGGCTGGACACAATCGGGACCTGCCACCAGCCCTCGCCACCCCCCTCCTTGCGCTGGGGATGGTCACTTGGCCTGGCAATGGTGGGAAGAGGCCGCCCGGGACTCCCCGAACGTCCTCCCCCATAACACTGCTGGCAAACACTGCTTCCTTCCCTCCTTCCCTCCTTGCAGGCTCCGCGGCGCTGGGCTCGGCCCCCTCGGCCCCGGACAGGTGGGTCTCGCTCTGCCGCCGGGGAGGCGGCTCTGCAGGCCGGTGCTGCTCCCGCACCAGGGCCGCTTCCCGCAGCCTCGCCATGCGCCGCCGTGCGGCGCGCCGCATCCTCAGCCGCGTCACCACCGTCGCCTTCGAAGGCACCGCCTTGCTGGAGCAGATCAGCGTCATCGGGGGCAACGAGACCGGCATCTACATCCACACGGTCACCCCCGGCTCCGCTGCTGACGAGATGTCCTTGTCCCCGGGGAACCAGATCCTGGTGGTAAGGGCTCCACGGGCGCCAGCGGGGCCCAGCTGGACGCGGTGGCCTCGAGCAGCGCCCCGGTGACAATCCTTCCTCCGCTGCCCTGCTCGGCCGCTGAGCGCGCTCGTCCCCAGGTGGACTACGACATCCTGGACTCCGGCTTCAAAGCTGTGCTGGAGGACGTGACGCTGGAGGAAGCCCTGTGGGTGCTGAGGAGAGTGAACGGCTTCTGCTGCCTCTCCGTGAGGCCCAACATGGAGGGTAGGAGCGTCCCCCCTGCCCTTGACCGGCCCCGGGGACGTGTCCCCGGCTGGGGAGGACGGGACCTGCATCCCTTGCCTGGCTGGCACCTCCCGGTCCCCACCAGGGTACAACAAGCTGGTGAGTGACCTGCAGAACAAGGTGGTGACCTCGGGAGACTCCTTCTACGTCCGAGCCAACGTGGCCATGGAGGGGCAGGGCTGGGGGCAGCTGCCCGTGCTCTGCAACGACATCCTGCACGTCACGGACACCGTGTCGGAGGGCGGGAGCCGGTGGCGCGCCTGCCGCGTGGACCCCTACAGCGCCACGGACACGGACGCGGGCACCATCCCCAACTACGGCCAGTGGGTGCCGGGGAGCAGGGCGGGAGGTCGGGATAGCGGGAAGCGGGGGATGCAGGGAGCAACTCGCAGAGGGCTGGGCAGCGTTTCGGCAGGTCCTCGTGGCCATGCAGGGCACGGCCACGCAGGGGTTTTCCTCGCGCGAGAGGGATAGCAGAGCCAGGAGGCGCTTCCACAGCGCGGTGCTGCTCTCCGGTGTAGCTAAACCCCTGCTTCCCTCCGTGCTCAGGGCCCAGCAGCTGCTGCTTGCCCGAATCGAGGACATGGTGCAGCTGGGCACAGCGGGCAAGGTGAGGCTGCCGGGACGGTGCCCCGCGGGGAGCCGAGCGCTCCGGGACCTCTGCTCAGCTCCTCGTCTGGCCCGCAGCCCTTCGGGGAGCAGCAGAAGCTGGTGCGGGTTGTGAGCACCGAGATGCAGCAGCTCAGCCCGCTGTGGAGGTCCCTGCCGAGCGGCGCCGGGACGCCCGGGGACACGCAGGGTGTGTATGGGGGCCGGGGGGCCGCGCCGTGCATGGTGCCCACGTCCCGAGCGGATCCCATCCCCGTGCCACCCAGCCGTCGGGGAGCGGGGCCTCGGGCCCTGCCGCAGGGGTCTCACCGGGGTCTCCTCCCGCCTCGGCGGCTGTGCAGGCAGCTCCAGCAGCCAGGGGGGCGGCTGCCTCACGCTGATGCCCTACACGCTCGTGCAGCCCCGCCAGCCGCGCCACCCGCGGCCCGTCCTCCTGGTGCCCGCGCTGCTGGGGCAGCTGCTGGCCGACAGGCTCTGCATGGACAAGGGCTTCGAGAAGTGCCCCTCAGGTAGGTGGGCACTGGGGTCCCGCACGCGGAGGCTCTGCCGGCCCCAGCGTCGCTCCGGCCGGGCTGTCTCTGGCTGCACAATCTGCCGGTGTCTTCGCGCGGTGCCGGTGCCATCGGAGCCGCCGGCTCCTCCCGGCTGCCTCTCACCGCAGAGCTGCAGGGAGAAGCGGGCAGAGCGGCGCTCCCGGGGCCGGACGCGCTGCGCAGCCGCTGCGCCCTCACCTGCCGCCTGCTGCACGCGCTGGCGGAGAAGGTACCGGGACGAGGGGGCCGCGGATGGAAACTGGATCAGGGGTATCGGGAGAGGGAGGAACCGCAGGGACCGCGTGTCCCCACGCAGGATGGGATCCAAGGGAGGGGGGATATGGACCACGCAGAGCATCGAAACCAAGCGCCAGCAGGTGCTGGGCACGCGGGGGCAGCACCCGCAGCCCGTGGGGTGCTGGGGGTGGCTCGGAGTGGGATGTCCCCCAATCCGTGCGTGGGGGCACCCGTGTCCCCGTGGATTCTGTGCGGGACGGCTCCTCGCCCTGCTCCGGGCTGAGCCGCGCGCTCTCCCCGGCTCCCCAAGGGCGTGCACGGGCTGCTGGACATGGGCCTGGAGTGCGTGCAGCCCCTGCACTCCATGGACACCTACCCCATCCTGCTCCTGCTCCCCGTCACCGAGAAGGGCGCCAGGAAGCTCCGGTAGGTCACGGCCCGCGGGAGCAGCCGGCACCAGGGCCAGGGGTGGAGCTGCCGGGACGGACCGAGCCCATCGGAACAGGGACCTCAACGGTGCCACTGGGCTCTGCAGGCAGCGGGGGGCAGGGGGCTGTCCCAGAGATGCCAAGCTCAGAGTAACTGCGAGGACAGAAACTGCCCTGGGCTAAGGCTGGTCCTTAAGCCCATCTCAAAGCCTGGTCCGAGCTCATTATATTTATGGAAACACTGCCCAGCTCGTTGCTGCAGAAAGGTCTAGGTGGAGCTTTGGTGGTTTCTGACGTGCCTGCAGGTGCCCCGCGGCTCGGGCAGGGTCCCCCGCGCGGTGGTGGCTCCTGCCTCCCTTAGCAGAGGGCACAGAGGGTCCGGGCGGCGCCTGGAGGCTCCGCGCTGCCTTGCAGGAAGGCCCTGCAGCGGCACGGGGCCACGGAGGAGCAGCTGGTGGCGGGCGCGCGCGCCGAGCGGGCCCGGCTCGAGCGGCTGCCCTGCCTCTACGGCACCGTGCCGCCCGCCGCCTGGAGCGACCTGGACTCGCTCGCGGGCTGCGTCCGCGCCGCCGTCGCCGACGAGCAGAGCAGGACGGTGTGGACAGCGCAGGAGTCCTGCTGAGCGCTGCCGCGCGGGGCGCTCCCGCCACCGTCCCCAGCTCCCCATGGCTGTCCCCCGCCGGGCGCAGGGACAAGAGGGGTCTATTGCAGACACATCCCAGCTGGTGCCCGCCGCTCCACAGCCCGGCCCCAGCACCAGTGCACGGCCCAGGACCGTCATTTGGGACGAGTCTGTCCCCTTGCTGGCTGGCAGGGGCCAGGGCAGCCGGTGGCACCTCGGTGGCAGCCCCAGGGCAGCCCCAGCTCTGCCCCATGGGCAGGTGTCCCAGCCCAGCTCACAGTCCCGAGATGCTCCATGCTTGGTACGTTGTGCTAAATTAAACCACGTTACAAGGAGCATTGCCGCACGTGTGTTGGTGTCTGCTGGCCCAGCCTGCCTGGGCGCAGAGCTCTGCCCCTGCATCGCTAGGGATGCAGAAACCCACGCAGCAGGAAAGCGCTGAACTCCGGGCAAAAGCTGAGCCCTTCTCCAAGGGCTTTATTGCAAAGTAATCAGCAATTGCAATTGCAAAGTATCGCAGCGCAGCGCTGGGGCTGCAAGCTCCAGGTGCTGACCTTGAACCTGCTGACTGTGAGTGCTGCTCCACGGCTGCACAGGACAAGGACAGGGGCAGAGGCCACCAAGCCCAGCAGGTGCCCGCATCGCCCTGGGGCAGCGGGTGCCGCAGGGGGCCCCGAGGCGAAGCCAGGGTCACAGCTCGTTGTGCAGCGGCCGGCACTGGGGGCTCAGTTTCTCCTCCAGGACAGCATCCGGGGCGCACACCCACGGGTCGCCCGTGTCCCACTGCCACTTCAAGAGCTGTGAGCGAAGCCGCTCGAAGACAACGGCGTAGCGGGGGTCCGCGGCCACGTTGTGCCTCTCGCCGGGGTCGCGGCTGCAGTCGAACAGCTCCCAGCGCTGCCTGTAGTAATACTCGTGCAGGGTCTTGTCCCAGTGGGTTGGCTGCCCGGCCCTGGTCCGGTTGAGCAGGTCTTGGAAAGTGGGCGAGACGTAGAAGTCCTGGTCAATGGGGAAGGGCATCCTGTAGTTGAGGTTGTGGACCAGGCGGAATTGCTGGTGCTGGATGGCACGCATGGGATAGTACATGGTGACCTCGTGGTGGCTCTGGCTGCTGAAGGCCGTGGCCCAGGGCTGCTCCCGCTCCAGCGCTGGCAGCAGCGACTTTCCTGTGAGCTGCACTTCCTTTCTGCCGAAGATGCTGTAGGTTGGGTAGGGGACGGAGAACCAGTCCAAAATGGTCGGTGTGAGATCTGGAGAGGAAGAGAAGGGTGAGGAGGGGGCTGGCAGGGCGGGAGGAAGCTCAGCTCCGGAGAGGTGCAGAAAGGGCTTAGGGGGCTGCTGGCGGCCGCGGGCATCCCGCGGTCCTCCCCTCCCACGGGGGCGGTTTGGGTGGTTCTGCTCTGCCGCAGGACAGCAACGTGGCAGCCCCGTGGGATGACGCTCCCGCGGGGCTGGGACGCGGCTGCTCCCGGGGTCCTTCCTGGGGGGCCTGTGTCCTGGCTGAGGGGGACAGGCCATGCCAGGGGCTTCAGCACGCAGTGGGGAGAGCACCTTGGGTTTCAGCATGGGGAAGGCAGAGGGCAGATGTGCCCAGCCCCGCTCCCTGCCCCGGGGCCCGTTCCCAGCGCCCAGGCTCTCACCGAGGAGGCTGGCGACAGCCTGGCTGACCTGCCCCCAGCGCCCGGTGTGCGCGGGCGACGACAGCAGCAGCGGCTCGGCCGTGCCCGAGCGGTACAGGTTGGTCCTGCCGCCGGGAAAGGGGATGCCGTTGTCGGAGGTGTAGATGACGAGCGTGCTGTTGAGGACGCCGGCGCGGCGCAGCTCCTGCAGCACCAGCCCCACACCTGCGCCGAGGGGGGCCCGGCTGAGCGCGAGCCCCACGGCGCCCGCGCGCCCACCCGCCCGCCCGCCGCCCACCTTGGTCCATGCGGCCGATGGTCGTGTACTGGGCGGCCAGGTCTGCCCGCGCGGCCGGCATGTCTGGCACGAAGTGGGGCACCTAGGGAGTGTGGAGGGGCGCGTGGCAGCGCGGGACGGTGTGGGGCGGTGGGTCCGGTGTGCGCTGCCCCGCGCCGGCCCTGCCTCCCACCTGCACGTCCCCCGGGCTGTAGCGCTGCGGCCGCCAGTCGGGGATCCAGCCCATGCCGCTCTCGCCGTTGCCGAACCTCTCGCAGAAGGGCCCGTACTGGGGCTGCGAGTGCCCGCAGCGGTGCGGGTCGTGGAAGGCGACGTACAGGAAGAAAGGCCTGGGCGCAAGGGGAGAGGCTGGCGAGGCCGGGGCGGCACCGGCCTTCGCTGCGGTGCGGAGGGGGCTCCAGGGACCCGGGGTGATGGACCCGCCGTGGGCGCCCCTCACCTCTCGTCCTGGCTCTGCAGGAACTTCCGCACAAGCATCTTGATCCGAGTGATGTTTCTCCCAACCTGCAAGACGGAGCTGTTCTCCTCGGTGTAGGCGAAGTCGAAGGGGTATACGGCCTCCGGGCCAACGTGCTTCTTCCCGATTATCCCTGCGGAGGAGGCAGATGTGCAGCAGGGCAGGAGCTGAGCACGGCGGGGGCTGCTTGGCTCTGCCTTTCCCCTCAAGACTAATACAAATCATCTGCCCTAGCACTGGCTGCGCAGAGGGGCAGGGGATGCTGGCACAGGGACTGGCAGGAGCTGTTGGCTTTTCCAGACATTTCTCTGGATGCTGCTGGCTGCAGAAGCACTTCTGCATCTGCACAGAAACCGAAACCTGCTCCAAAGTGCAGGTGGGGGCTAGAACAACCACCAGCCCGGGAGGAGGTTGAGGCCAAGCAGAGCCCTCTGTTAACCTGGGAGCGGGGAAGGAGAAGGACAAGGAGCAGGAGTGGAAGTGGCTGCTCAGCTGGAGCGAGCACAGAGGCGCGGAGGGAAGGGGAAGCAGCTCAGGGGAATGGAATGGGAAGTGAAATGAAACACGTGCGTCAGCACAGAGGGGCATGTGTCTGGCTGGTGGTGTCTGACTCACGGGACAGCTAGTTGCCAAGCTCTCCTGCCCGCAGGGTTCGAGTCTTGGAGGAGGAGGGTTTTCCTGCCTGTTTCACTTGCCCTGGCCTTTCTACCTGTCCGGATGTGAGCCTGGCGGAGCAGCAGGGGCAGGCTTCGCACGCCGTCGAAGGAGTTGAAATGGTGCACGTCCTGGTGCAGCCCGTACATCCCATTCTGGTGCTGCACCGGGGGAGACAGAAACCTTGGATAAGGCAGCCCAGCCCTGCAGGTGCACGGGGCAGCATGGAGCAGGGCCGGGCTGCGGGCCGCACCTGGGGCAGGCCAGTGAGGATGCTGGCGCGGCTCGGGGAGCAGCTGCTCACGGCGGTGAAGGCGTTCTGGAAGACAAGGCTGCGCCGCGCCAGCGCGTCCAGGTTGGGTGTCCGGATGACGGAGTTGTTGTAGGCGCCGCTCTCGAAGCCGCCATCGTCCGCTGCAAGTGGGAAGAGCCGGTGTGTGGGGACGGGCTCGGCTGCCCTGTGCAACCCCACGCTTGGCTTAGCCTGGCGGGCTCCAGGGCTGCCAGCGCAGGGCTGCAGTGGCAGGACGGTGCTGCCGCCCGGGGAGCATCCTCGCGGCTGCGGGGTTTGCCCCCTCTTGCAAGGGGGCCGTAGGCGCTGGCACGGCGCCCAGGGGCCCCGTCGCGCTGCTGCCGCGGCCGCGCTCACCCAGCAGCAGCAGCACGTTGCGCTGCGGGGCCCCGTGCAGCTGCAGCGCGGCCAGCAGCGGCAGCAGCGGCGGCGGCAGCGCCCAGGGCCGCATCGCGCGGCGCCGCCGACGGGGCCGGGAAGCGGCCGGGACGCGGCGGCTCCGGCTCCGGCTCCTCCTCTGCCCCGTCACATGAGGCGGCCCGGGCGGGGCGCCCGGATGCGCCCGGGGCCGCCGGGAAAGAGCCCGGGACCGCCGGGAAAGAGCCCGGGACCGCCGGGAAGGAGCCCAGTATCGGTACCGCCAGGAAAGAGCCCGGTGCCGCCGGGAAAGAGCCCAGTACCACAGGGAAAGAGCCCGGTACCGCTGGGAAGGAGCCCGGTGCCGCCGGCAGGGAGCCCGGTATCGGTGCCGCCGGGAGGGAGCCCGGTACCGGCAGCGCTGCCGCCCCGACTCCGGGAGCGTGGGGCCGGGGCAGAACGTGCCGGCGCACGGCGCTGGGGCAGCCCCCGGCACTGCCGCCATCCCGAGCCCCTCACCTGTGATGTCGGGGCCCGGGTGTCCCACGCGGTGCTGCTCCTTCCCTGCGGTCCAGAAACGGCTCCCTGTCCTCCGCTGGCTTCCGCGCTACTCGCTGGCCTGGCTGCAGCTCGACGTGATCGCTGGAGCGACCGTGGGCCTGACAGTGGTGCCGCAGGCGCTGGCGTACGCCGAGGTGGCTGGGCTGCCCGTCCAGGTGTGTCCCTGTCCCCTGTGGCAGCCCCAGCTCTGTGTCTCTCATGGGTGCAGTTGGTCCCTGCTGCAGGACGGCTGCCCACGGCCCCGGGCTCTGCAGGGGGACAGGAGCTGCACGGGAGCGGATGGGAGGGCTGGACGCACTGGGAGCCCGGAGGCTGAGCCGGCGCCGCTGTGTGTTTGTGGGACACAAATCCCCGGGTGCAGAGCGTTTGCTCAGCATCAGCTGTGGGCTCCGGAGCAGTTTCCAAGCAGCCCTGCCTTCCCGCAGCGTGCTGGAAGCGCTCCCCAGCTCCGCGCGGTGCTGAGCTCTCCTTTGCCCCCGTGCAGTACGGCCTCTACTCCTCCTTCATGGGCTGCTTCGTCTACTGCCTCCTGGGAACCGCCAAGGACGTGACGCTGGGGCCCACGGCCATCATGTCTCTGCTCGTCTCCTCCTACGCCTTCCACGACCCCGTCTACGCGGTGCTGCTCACCTTCCTGTCGGGCTGTGTCCAGCTGGCCATGGGGCTCCTGCGGCTCGGTGAGCGCCCCGCCGGGCTCCCAGGGCATCGCTTGTCCCAGCGCTGCTCCTGCTGCTCCCTGTGCTTGTCCTGGCATCCACGGCAGTGCTGCACGTGGGCAAAGAGCCCCCTACCAGCATCACCCCTGTCCCACATAGGCTTTCTCTTGGACTTTATATCCTGCCCAGTCATTAAAGGCTTCACCTCAGCGGCTTCCATCACCATTAGCTTCAACCAGGTCAAGGTAGGAGCTGCTGGTTCTCTCTGCCGTTCTGGTTGCGGAGCCGGGATGTCGGGTGCTGGGGGCACAAAGGGCCCACAAGTCCCATTGCTGTGGCTGCAAACGCCCCGGTGAGCACCAAGCGAGGGCTGATGGAGCTTGGGACACCCGGGTAGACCCCAGGGCACCTTTGTTCCACGGCGGCGCCCCGCGGCTGCGGAGCTGGGCCGGGTTGGAGGTGCTGGGGCTGCCGCCACCCCGTCACTTCCTTCCTCTGTGGTTAACCAGGGCCGGGGCGGCGCAGGAGGCGCGCGGCTTCGCCAGGAGCCCCAGGGCTGATGTGGGCCGGTGGCTGCGCTTGCAGCTGCTGTTGCTGCAAGGAGCTTCTTGCTGCTGGAGGCACCGGGGCTGGGGGGGCTGGCGGGGGGTGCTGCTGAGCCCCTGTGCTCCTGGCTGCTCCTCAGGGACCCCGGGAGCTAGGGCTGCCCGGGGCTCAATGAGCCTTTCCCTTCTGGCACAGAACATCCTGGGGCTGCAGGGAGTCCCCCGGCAGTTCTTCCTGCAGGTCTATGAGACGCTGAGGAGGATCGGGGAGACCAGGTGAGCGCCCGTCCCTGCCCCTCGGCTGCTCCTGCCTCCGCGGGCCGCGCGGCACGTGCGGGTGCCACGGGTCTGACCCGTTCGCAGGGCTGGGGACGCCGTGCTGGGGCTGTCCTGCCTGCTGGCGCTCACGGGGCTCGGCGCAATGAAGAGCGGCCTCGGCAGAGCCGCCGGCGCGGAGCCGCTCTGCACCAGGGTCAGTTACTGCATCGTCTGGACCTCCGCCACCGGTGCGTTGGCCTCCCGTGCCCTTGCCCTCTGCCATGGCCTTCCCGGGGCCTTGGCCTCTCCTGGAGCAGGGGACGAGGGGAGGGCTGCAGGGGGACGAATGCGCCCGGATCTGCACAAAGCGGCTGGGAGCAGGAGCCCGGAATTCCTGCCCCGGGAATGCCCTTCTCTCACCCTCCCCTGCCAGGAAGCTGCCTGCTCCRGTCCTCCTGCCGTGTCACCGCGGGGCTCCTCTCTCCACCACAGCTCGCAACGCCCTCGTGGTCCTCTGTGCCGGCCTGCTCGCCTACTCCTTCCAGGTGATGGGCTGCCAGCCCTTCACGCTCACGGGCCGGATCCCCCGCGGCCTCCCCGCCTTCCGGGTGCCGCTCTTCTCCAAGGTCACCCACAATGGCACTGTCCCCTTCAGCAGGATGGTACAGGTGGGTGCTGCCAGGTCCCCTGCGCAAGGCGGCCCCCCTTGGGGCTGCTTTTTGTTGCTTGATGTCATTCTAGAGAGCAGAGCAACCCCCAGAGCAAGGGAATCCTTGGAGAAGGGGCAGCCCCGGGCAGAGGGAGACGGGGCTGGCGGTGGTGGCCCCGTCCCGGTGACGTCCCGCCTGCCCTCGCCGGCTTTTCTCCTGCAATGCTCTCCCCTCGCAGGACATGGGGGCCGGGCTGGCCGTGGTGCCGCTCATGGGGCTGCTGGAGACCGTCGCCATCGCCAAGGCTTTCGGTACGGCCGTGCCGGGCCCCGGCACGTGGCGCCGAGGGGTGCGGGGGCTTCGCTGGGTGCCAGCGAAGGGGTGGCCCTGCTGAGCCAGGCCTATGGCAGGGCCGGCCGGACAGTCCCTGGGGAGCAGGAGACCCTCCTGCTCCGGCCAGGCTGCTCCCGGGTACCTGGCTGGGGCTCCGCGTGGCCAGGGGGCTGGCAGGGGCCTGGTGGGCACCCGGGGCCAGCCCCTCGTGCCAGCTGCAGTGACGTTCTCCTGCCCTCAGCCTCGCAGAACGACTACCGCATCGAGCCCAACCAGGAGCTGCTGGCCATGGGTAAGGGGCTGGTGGGGACGGCATGGCCCCACAGCAGCTGTGTCCCCTAAGGTCCCTGCACAGGGAAAAGCAGCCCCAGGTGCTGCACAGAGGGGCCCGTGCTGGTCCCCGGCCCTGCTCCGTGCGCTAAGGGATGGGGCAGTGCAGAGCACTCGCTGACTCGTGGGGCTAGCTGGGGTTTGGCCCAGGGAAGCCTGGAGGCCCCTGCAGAGCCTTCCCCGTGGGCACGAGAGCAACCACTCCCCCTCCCCGCCGTGTGTCCTTCGGCCTCGCACCCATCTCTTCCTCCCGGGGGGCTTTTCCAGCCTTCTGCATCGTGTCCATCCCGCCCTCACATGCCCAGGGATCCCCATCCCCTACCCAGGGCTGCGGCCCCGTCCCGGCCTCGCCGGGCGGCCGTGCCCAGTGCTCCTCCTTCCCTCAGGTCTCACCAACCTCCTGGGCTCCTTCGTCTCGTCGTACCCGGTCACGGGCAGCTTTGGACGGTGAGGAGCGGCTGCAGCGCAGACCGAGGGGCTCCGGGCACCTGGCACTGGGGTTGCTGGCCCCGGGGCCTCCCTGCACCCGTGTCCTACTCCCCACCGGTGCCTGGGGCTTCCCTGCAGTCCCACGGGCACTGGGAGCTTCTCCCCATGGATCCCCCGGGTGGGAGCCCATGGATCCGGTGGGTCCCCGGGTGGCCGCGGTGCCGCAGCGGGGACGGTCTCCATGCTTGGTGTTGCAGGACGGCGGTGAACGCGCAGACGGGCGTGTGCACCCCCGCGGGGGGGCTCATCACAGGTGGGCACCGCGCTGGCACCGCCTGCCCCCGGGCATCGCGCGGGGCCGCGGCGGCCGGCTCACGCGCCCCGTGTCCCGCAGGCGCCCTGGTCCTGCTCTCGCTGGCCTTCCTCACCTCCTTCTTCTATTACATCCCCAAAGCGGCGCTGGCCGCCGTCATCATCTGCGCCGTGACGCCCATGTTCGACGCCGCGATCTTCCGGACGCTGTGGCGGGTCAAGAGTAAGGCCGGGGGCCACCGCATCCCGCTGTGCTCCGGGCAGCATGTTGTAGCCCCTGGGGCTACCATGGGCCACGTGTCCACCTGGGTGCCCAGCGAGGGGGTGGTTGGGCCCCTGCCCCGGGACCGTTTCCCTCTCCGAGGGCTGGGAGCAGCCGATAGCTCAGCCTGATGTTTCTCCCATGCATAGCCAAGGGCTCTGCCCCAGCTCTGGGGACCCTCCTGCCCTCGCCCCGATGCCCTTCACTGCTGCGGGCCCAGCCTTGAGGCCTGAAGCACCCAAAATTGGGGTTTGTTTCTGCACGGGCGGCTGCCTCTGGCTCGGTTACCACCAGGCACCCAGGGATGTCCCGACGCAGGCGCCGTCCCGCCGGGCCTGGGGACACGAGGACAAGGTCCCTGTGGGACTGGCTCCCTCTCTTGCAGGGCTGGACCTCGTGCCGCTGTGCGTGACATTCCTGCTGTGTTTCTGGGAGGTGCAGTATGGCATCGTGGCCGGGGTGCTGGTCTCGGGGCTCCTCCTGCTCTACGCCATTGCCAGGCCCCCCATGAAGGTGGGTTTCACATGGGGCGGGCTGCTCCACCCCATTGCGTGGCTGCCATCGGTGCATGGTCCCGCAGGGACTGCAGGGAGGGCCCTTTGTCACACAGGCCCTTCCCCTGCTCGAGGCAGACCGCGGTGTCCTTCCTCCCTGCCCAACGCGCCGCCCCTCTCCGGGCTCTCGCAGGTGTCCACGCAGGGAGAGCTCGTGGTGCAGCCCGGGAGCAGCCTGCACTTCCCGGCCGCCGAGTACCTGCGGGACACGGTGTGCAAGCACCTGCAGGCAGGTAGGACCGCGGGATGGGGCCACTTCCCGTGTCCCCGCTGTGCTCCGGGCTCCTCTGTGCCCCATCCCCGGGCACGGCTGCTCCCGAGCCGCTGGCGCGAGCGGCTCTGTGTGAGCAGAGGCTGAGGCAAATGCAGGAAGGGCTTTGGGGGGAGTCACTGGGGCTTCATGTTGGAGTCTGCCCGCTCTGGCATGGTCTGGCTCTAGAGGAACAGTCAGACTGTGCTTGGGCTGCTCCGGGTGCCGCATCTCCCGGCACGGTTAGTGCTCATCCCGATGGGAGGATGAGCGCGACTCCTCTCTTGGCAGCACCGACTCCCGGCTCCGTCGTCCTGGACTGCCGCCATGTGAGCAGCGTTGACTACACGGCCGTGCTGGGGCTGGCAGAGCTGCTGCACGAGCTGCGCAAGCAGGGCCTGGCGCTGACCCTCTGCGGGCTGCAGGTACCATCCAGACCGGGCAGTTGCTGCTGGCACCGGCACCGCCGTCTGCTCTGGCGGCCCAATTGCACCAGGGCTACGCAGCACCTTGAGTCTGGGCTGCCCCCGGGCCCTGCTGCAACCTGCTGCATCTCATGAGCGTGAGATGCTGAGTCGCCGGCACTGGGACCTGCCCCGGGCTCTGTGCGGGACCGGCAGCCTCCAGGAGCCTCCGGCCCGCGCTCATGCTCACGCACTGGCCTCTCTGCCCGCAGGACGACGTCCTCCGCACGCTGCTGGCCGCAGAGCTGCAGGAGTTTGAGCACTTCTCCAGCTGGCAGGTGGCAGGTGAGACAGGACCGGCAGCCCAATGTGCATCCCCAGGGATAGGCAGGAGCGGGTGCTCCGAGCTTACTTGCCAGGCGTGTTCTGCTTCCTCAGAGCTCCAGCACGGGGCTGGGCATCTCTGCCCTGACCTCCCAGCTTCTCTCCACAGAGCAGAACCGGGAAGCAGAGCTGGGTGGCACCTGGACCCTCCTGTTCCCTGCCAGTGCCGAGTGCTCGCTGGGGAGCATCCAGTGAGGCCACGGAGCAGGACAGCCCCACGCTGGAGCCCTGCAGGGAGCACATCCGTGCCCGCCACCTGCTACTCTGCTGCACGGGAGCAATGGAGCCGGCCCGGTGCTGGTCACCGGTTCCGCAGGGGTCCCTCGAGCTGCACCCTAAGCACATTCCTCTCCACGGCCGAGCTCTGCGCCGGCCGCATAATAAAACTTGCAAAGGGAGCAAGCGAGCAGAGCGTGAGCCGCCTGTGCCGGCAGTGACTCAGCACCCGCGCCCACCATCGAGGAAACGAAACAGAAAGCGGGAAAGTGGGCGCTGCGGCAGGGCCGAGGGTGCAGGCAGGGCTGCCGCGCCGCATTGGCCCCGGCTTTGCCCTGAAGCAGCCGCGAGTGTTGGGAAACTGCTGCCCTGTGTTTGGAGGCCCTTCCTTGGGGAGCAGCCAAGGAAGCAGCAGGAGGCAGGATGAGGCTTTGGTGTTTCCTTAGGCTGCAGGGCAGCTTGGCCGGGGCCCGACGCCCTGCACCGCGAGCCGCACTCCTCCCTTGCAAATGCCAGTGGTGACTCCTTGCCAGGAGCCACGTGCCAGAGCCGCAGGCCGAAGCTCCCATTTTCGGGCTTGTTTTCTGTGTGTGTTTCGCTCCCGGTGTGCCCTCACGCAGGGTCTTGGGTTCCCGCTCCGTGCAGGGGTGCTGGTGCTCCCGGGATGCCCCCGTGCAGGGCACAGGTGCAGCCGCCCGCTTGGCTCCCTATCTCTGCCCACAGCTCCCATCCCACTCCCGAAACGGCCCTCCAGGCCCCGAGCAGAGGCACGGGCAGCACCGTCCATCCGCGCGGGTCGGGACCGGCTCGTGCCCACTCTGCGCCGCTGCCGCCGCGGCGATCGGCAGCCCCCGGCCCGCCGTGGTCGCCGCTCGCGCGGGGGCTCCGGGGCGCCCT